TTCAGAGATAAATAGTGTGTCATATTCAAACTAAGAACAGGGAACAACAAACTTTGCCAACATATGTTCCCATTTTTCAGTGTAGGAAACACATAAATGTATCCCTGCATGCAACATGGCACCAAAAATTGTTGAGCATGTGAGTCAACAATGAAAACTGTATGCAGCAAGTGGAGAAGCAATCTGGCATATTCAAACCTCAATGAAGACAAAGCTGTATGGTACACTAGAAGATTTGGACTGCATGATGACTTTCATAAAGGCTACCGACCACCTAATAAAAGTTTTTTAACTGAAGGATTGAAGAAGATAAGAGTACATTTATAGACAAATTCACCTGGACACTCCACAGATACTCCACGTCTTTCTGTCAGGTATTTGTTGTTGGTGTTCTTGGTTCTGTGGCACTTGGACTTTAGACCTTCATGTCCAAGCTATGTTGCAATACACTCAGGAGTCTAGTATGATGTTTAGATATTTTCACAAGGATTCTGACGCTGGAAATATGTAATGAAAAGAAATATACAAAATATATTGCTGTGTGAGTCAGTTACGATTATGGCATGTGTATACAGCTGATTTGCAAGCCAGCAGTGACTGCCTCCACCTCCATTCTCAAACTAGATGTTGTAATATCAAACGCCAGACATTGCTCAACTAAGCGAAGTCCATTCGCTTATGCTATAAACCCTTGTGCTTCGTCTACCTCTCATCACAGAGCCATCTGTACAGATAATCACATCACCTAGGAGGGCATTTTCATTATTCATTTGTTGAACTTCTGATTCTGTAGCACTAGCTGGAAAGTCATTGCATTCAGGGCCTAAAGTGATTAGAACCCTACACAAGTCTGATTCTAGCTCGGACACTTTGACCCACTCCTCTCCTTACCCAAGTTTAGCAAGCCTGCACGCCTGTCTATTTGTGTCGTCGGCTCGTGCCATCCAAGAAATTCCTCTTTTCTGTCTGTGACCCTTAGCTCTACCTAGGTCGTCGGCATGTGCCATCGAAGGAATTCCTCTTTTCTGTCTGTGACCCTTAGCTCTACCTAGGTCGTCGGCTTGTGCCATCCAAGAAATTCCTCTTTTCTGTCTGTGACCCTTAGCTCTACCTAGGTCGTCGGCTTGTGCCATCCAAGAAATTCCTCTTTTCTGTCTGTGACCCTTAGCTCTACCTAGGTCGTCGGCTTGTGCCATCCAAGGAATTCCTCTTTTCTGTCTGTGACCCTTAGCTCTACCTAGGGCTTCATGGATATGAATGAAAAATTGAAGTCTTCTGCATGAATGCATGATCAAACTTTCATTCTGTTATTGTGATCCAGATTTAGAGTTTAGAAACCATTGATGTATTGAAAATGTCATTTCAGGGCCTGTAATTTCCGTTACATTGCTGTCCAGTGGGAGAAGCCAACAACGTATGGTGATGCGCTAGTCACAGGTTACAAAGTGTTTGTGAATGGCATCGTTGAGGCAACTCTGGGCACAGATAATCTCAGTTACACATACACTCAGGGAAAACCTTGTCAAGAATATGCGTTCCAGGTTCAGGTAGGTTGGTTTGCTGCTTGTTTTCTTGTCGAGACACTGGCTTATCCTGTATCAGACAAGCCTACATTCACTAAATCAGCAGTTTTCAACCTTTATCAGGTAATGCTCGCTCAGAGAATTTGATCATTTACACAGACGTTTCAGTGTCAAGAGGCAAAAGAAGTGCTTGGGGCTTCTTAGCAAAAGTTAATGGTCGACGTTTGGTGCAAAAGAGCCTAGCATATGATACCACATCCAGCTTAAGAATGGAGGTGGAGGCGGCCACTGCAGCTTTTCCCTGGCTAGAGAACATGACACACACACACATCATGATTGTACCTGATTCAGAAAGCATGCTGAGGAAGATCAGAACAGGTATGCTTCGTGCAGAGTGGCATGCTTCGCTGCGGAGGACACGGGTGAGGAGTATTGTCTGAATTTTTTCACCGGGGCACACCAGTGTGTTGGGAAATGAACAGGTGGACAGACTAGCTGGCTCTGCACAACTTGGTGGAATACTGATACATGATAAGGCAGACGTGGTTAGTACCTTGTGGGAGAGCGTGTACAGTTCAGAGGAGCAAATGGATCACCACAGTCTGGTGAAATTGATGTAGCAGGGAGTGACGCGAGGTTCTGGCAGATGCTTGAGGCTCAGAGAAAAGGCAAGACAGATGTTTAATCAGAATGCTACTGACACCATTAGTATCAGAACTCTTCCCTGGCTGCTGAAGATGGGGACAGAGCGCTTATGGGAATGCCCCAACTGCTGTGATGTGGGTTCTTGAATCAAATCAAATCAAATCAGGTCGCATCACACTTGAATGTATGGCAAGACCCCCATCTTGCTGCTGGAACATCCTAGCATCTGTCCAACTAGAGTAATACAAGTAACAACAAATATATATTATTTTTATAGAGGGTAATTATACACACCTTGAAAAATATAAATACATCTCCTCGACTTATGACCCATGCAGATTACAAACATCTGTACTTATGACCACAAACATAAATTATTAAAATAGTAAATAAGAATTATAACTATTTTGATAGGGTCAGAAAGTTCCCAGAACTGATGCCTAGTGTGTCCACAGAGTCCTGTGTACCATAAGTGTAGGCACATAGATTGAATTTTTGTGTTTTATGTTCAATTTGTGTAACCAATTTGATTGAACATAGTGTTGACAAATTGTAAATTTGGCTTACGATCAGCTGGACTTACGACCTCTAAGCCAGGTCAGAATTTGTTCATCAACAAGTTGAGGAGAGCCAAATATGTTGTTAGTTTTTTAAATGTGCTCTGACTGAATGTCAAATGTACAACTACATATGAGATGTTGGCTGGGACATTAAAGAATAGAAAATTAACAAATGGTGCTAAAGTGAACTGCCCAAGATAGGTAGAGTTAACAACTGAGTTAAAAACACTACATCAGCCAGTGGCCATCAGTGTCTATCTTTTATGGAGTGTATAGCTCTCACTGAACTGAGAAAGTGTTGCTTGTGCTGTGTATAAAACTGTCAAATATCTTAAATAAATGAATTATACTGAAAACAACAATCACTGCACTTGGAACATTCCCATTCTCACCCCACCCATTCTGCAGTAACCAGTAAATAGAGCCTTTGCTGGCAACCTAAGTGAAAATTCACAAATTCTTTTTCTTGCAAGTTGACTTCTTACTTCTTGCTCACTTCTGATGGAATGAATCTTGTCATGTATGGATACCCTGTTCTGCTGCTCTTTAAGGTGTACCTTATAATAAATTAGCTTGTCACCCAGAGAAGCTGCAGCATCCAGTCTCGCCCCCTAGAGAAGCTGCAGCAGTTGTTATGTCAGATGTATCTAGTGTGCTTAGACCAAACATGCAATATAAAAACACCATATTGTGTATTTCCTCCACTGGTAACTTTGTTTCCTTCACAAGCAGTTAAGAAACAGAAGGCAGCTTGGATTGTCTGTGTACATTTTGTTTACTTCTTCGTGTAAAATGTCTTCTCTCAGGCACTGACTGCAGATGGTCACTTAAACAGCAAACCTTCTGAGCCACTGGTGGTTATCTGGCCAGGCTCAAAGGCCCCAGCAGTCAAACACCTTCCATCCATTAGCAGTTCTACTCTTCGTGTGGGCTGGGAGGATCCATACCTGACTGAAGGACTCAAAATCAAACATTTTATGGTAAGCCAAAGATACTTTTATTGAAAGAAACAGGAACTGATTAATTATTGTGTCCTACAAGGTTCCATATTTATCAAAAATAAACATTTAAAAAAAAATTAAAACCTTTTGTATTTATATTATATACTTTGCTCTACATGACTACCTTTGTTTTGAAAACACAGTTCGATGCGTGTCCTCCACTGCTGAACTCGTATGAGCACAAACTGGAGTTACATTTGTAATGGCGGTGGTGGCGGCTCAATTTTCCTCACGTATCTTAATTACAGGAGACATGCAGAACTGTAACACTTAGTAAACACATTTCTAAAACAGTTTCAGTTGTATAAATTGTAGCTTTTGAAAAAAAAGTGGGGGGGGGGGGGGGGGGGGTGGAAAAGGGGGGGAGCATTGTAAAAAATTAAGATAGAGATAAGTTGTGTGAGAGGAGACTGGAGATGTAGAATGGTAGAGACTATAGGTGCCAAAACACCCGTTATTGTTTCCCTAAAATAGGGCTGTTAAACCCACATGAGGAAACATGTAGTCATACATTTGATATTATTGAAAGCCTATTTTATATATATATAAATGCCATTTGGAAAATAATAATAAAAACTGTTATTATTGTTACTCATTAAACAAGGCTTAAGCCCCTTAAAACACAACTGTCCTCAGTGTTATATTTTATGGCCAGGGTTCCAAACCCATTCTTATGATCCGTCTATCCACTGTAGAAGCTGACCCCGGTGAACGTGAACATTTTGAGCATCAAGGAAGTAAAGACTATCATGTGCCTGCAAAACACAAACACACACACCTGTACGCATGCATGCATGCACGCGTGTGCGCTCGCACACACACACACACACACGCACGCACACACACACACATACATACATATGCATGCACACCATAGGCTCCGAACCTGGGAGCTCACACATCTCAAAGCCCTACTCCCCAAATTCTTTCATCTTTTTAAGCATATGTTTATAAATTTCATATCATTTCAAAAATATTACTACGTCCATTTGCCAGTTGGCACAGTATAATAGCAATTATTATTATTATTATTGCATAATTAAAGGGATGAAACCTCGTTTTTCATGCCACCACCTCACACCCCATCCCTTTCCTTTATGCCATTTTGCCTTCTAGAAAAACATGAGGGGACCGAATGTTTTCAGTGTCACGTTGTAGGGACATGTTGTGCTTCCTTTGTCTATTTCCGTCCTCTGTTTATTTCCTCTCCTGAGTGTTTAATTCTCCATTATCTATTTTTTTCTCCTGTCTATGTATTTGTACTTACTCAGCTGTGCTGTAAGGAAGAAAACACTGGAAAAATGGTTCAGACAATTGGCCCACTACATGCTGATGCCAGAGAGGGAGAGTTCAAAAATCTGAAGGAAGGAAACTACCTGGTCTATCTAGAGGTTTATGTAAGTATCTGCAACATTTATTTTGTCAGATTTATTTTTTATTTCCTTGTAGAAGTTTATTAAGATTACCTTTTCAGTCTCAGTCATATGTGATACTGTATACAGTCATACTGTATAACAGTAGTCTCCATTACCTGTTAGCTGTTAATGGTAAGCACCAAAACTGAGATTGCGCCAACAGCTTTGTGTGGAAGAGCTGAAGGTTGAATGTTGAATTAAGAATCAACATCACAGCACTTGGGACACCCCCATCAGCGCTCTGTCCCCATCTTCAGCAGCAAGCGAAGAGTTGAAATTCCTATGGTAACAGTAACTGTCTGATTTTATATCCATCTCGCCTTTCCCCTGACTGTCGAGTGTCGACCAGATCCCCTTGTAACTCCTCGCAGTGCCATTCTACCCAGACCGGAATGATCTATCTGTGCCTCGGCAATGTTTACTCACTCGCAAAAGGCCCTCACTACATCCAGCTTGTCATACTTCAGTTCACCACCAAGAGGTGCAGAACTGGCCAGTCTATGGGTGAAGAGCATGTTTAGAGAGGAGAAACGAGAAGAGGAGATGTAACATGAAACTTAATGTCTTGGCAAAGCAGACTAGGCCCTTAGTATGTGTTCACAGCTGGTCTAAGTGGGATGTTCTGACAGGTGGACAGGCAGAGTGATTTTTTTGTGTTCTTGTAGCTTCTATCTACAGCAAGCTTTTTTCTTTTTCCACAAACTTCAAAAGTGTTGGTGTTACTTTTCTTTTGAAGTAAACAAGGCAGGCTGTGAAATGGGCAACACATGGTCTCTACAGTACTGCTCAGGCTTTGTGTTGTTGTTAGGTGATCACCAAGGTCGCCCATTGGCTGGCTGGAAGATGACATCATCACAGACCGGGTCGCCTATTGGCTGGCTGGTAGACGACATCATCACAGACCGGGTCACCCATTGGCTGGCTGGTAGATGACATCATCACTGACTGGGTCGCCCACTGGATGGCTGGTAGATGACTTCATCACAGACTGGGTCGCCTATTGGCTGGCTGGTGGATGACGTCATCACCGACTGGGTCGCCTATTGGCTGGCTGGTGGATGACGTCATTATAGACAGTATTTGGGTCTGTCTCCTTCGGCCACATAAACACTTCAAAATTTTTTTTTTTCCAGAGCTACTAGGTGGCAAGCAGGGCTAAGCCATTTTGTATGGCACAAACAACCATGTCACAACTATAACCTAAAGCTCCTGCATTGGGGATGCTGGTTGAACGTGATGATCTTTGTTGTTGTTGGGCAAAGCAACGACAACTGTTGCTAGGAGGAGATGTAGCCCTGGTTATAACTGGGCTGTGATTTTCATGACTCTGTAACACAGTTTTACACTATCGTCTGGAAAGATGGCAGAGTGCCAACAAACACCACATAATTCTTCTCTTGTGCTAAGCAATTCATGTGTCACTTTATCATTCTCATTTTAGCTTATCTAGAAGTTTGTGTAACTGTCAATTGATTTAAGAATCAACATTAAAGCATATGCAACATACACATTGAATCATTACCAAACTCCACTGCTAGTTAGCTAGTTAGTTGATCGACCGACAAGTCCACATGCGCTTGGATCCCATCTTCAGTACATCCCTCAGTGTGTGGCGACTGATAACATCAGTGCTGTGTTGGTTTACTATTCTTCTTTGGCTACCTGTATAGTGTTCATTTTTGGCGACACCTCTGTTGGCCTAAAGTTCTTGTAGTCTTTTGATAGTTGCTGACTCAATGTCGTCTTCTGAATAATCTTCTCATCCTGCCTCTACCCGGGACCCTCGGTAGTACAGGTCTAGCTGCTGACGTCATCAGCGGGACGTGATGTCACCACCGGTGGCTAACGATATATTACTTTTTCACTCTTGACAGTACTGTGTTTTTCGGTGTGTTCCCGGCCGTCCCCTGAGTACTAGCCCACAAAAATGATAGCAGTAAGCTCATGGCTATTCAATAGGCAGCCATCGGACCAAATCTGACCCGCTAAGGCCTAGCGAGTGGCCCGCGGATCACTGCTGGTTGTATTGAATTAATGTCTTTCTATTTTGGGACTCGGACCGCTGGCCTGTAACGATCCCTAATTTCATAATTTTGGCCCCTGAGAAAACTTAAATTGACTAACTTAGTTGAACAGCTCTGGATATAGGTATATATGACATAGAAACAGAAAGCACAACAGAAACTACTTACATATTCACAATATGACATAGAAACAGAAAGCACAGCAGAAACTACTTACATATTCACAATATGACATAGAAACAGAAAGCACAACAGAAACTACTTACGATGTAGCTGTCCAAATGGTAGTCACATAATCCATGTAAATCCATTACTGAGTGAATTTAGCAAAATTGTTGAGGACATACTTAGCAGTGAGTAAACTTGAAGTTTCTTTTCTGCTTCTAAAACTTGCTGAACAGATACTAGGTAGTTTGCTCCTGATAAGTGCCGATATTCACCAAATCAAGCTTCTAAGTTGTCAGTCTGCAGCTTTCCAGGAAGTATAAAACTGGCTTCTGTGGTTGCAAACAGATATTTGATTAGGGAAAGCACTGTGGTCACTGTATGCAGCAGAGTACTGTGTGTTTGACCAAGGAAACACTTTCCTTGACAGCCCAGTCAGCTTGTCCCACTTTCTTAGCCATTCAGCAAACTGTTCAAGATAATGTACTTGTTCATCATCATTTGACAATATAGAATTTGAAAATGAGTTCAGTGTCTTTTTACCTACAAATTTACTTTTCACATTTACAATATGCCATCATAAAATCTGCTACAGAATAAAATATCTACTTCTTTATGATGGATGCTAGCTGGTACAGCAGAAGATGTTTCTGAAAGTTTATGGAGTAATTTGTTCTGCAAGTTTTCATGATTGATAGGCATACTAAGTTGTGGGGATGGGCAGGTACACTGAGTTGTGAGAATAGACGGGTGCAATGAGTTCTGAGGATAAACAGGTGGGCTCAGTTGTGAGAATAGGCTGGTACATAGTTCTGAGAATAGATAGATACACTGTGTTGTGTTAGTGGTGCTGTCATAAAGCTTTTCATCAGTTTTAAAAATTTGTCCAGGTATTTTTTTTTAAATAACCAATCTGTTTCATCTTGCAGGTGTATGGTTCTGACAGTGTCATCAGATCAGAGGTCATGAGCATGCAACCAGCTCTATCTCCTGATCCACCACAAATAACAGTAACCCTTGTCGGCCTGGAAGACCGAAGACAAGTTGAGAAGTTCACCTGTGACCTGGTCAACAAGCGAGATAGGTAATGATAGTTAATTCGACTTTCCATATGAGTTTCAGGACCTCATATTAGCGGAACAAAGAATAGACCCACATACAAAGTGACTAGTTAGAGGTTTTTCCTTAGCTTGAGTGTATCTGCCTGTGAAAGGAGGAACCAACAACCTGCTTACAAATAAGCCAGATCTGTAAAAGGGATATGCAAACAAAACTCAAGCTCTGATTCAAGACTAAAATCCAGAAGTGGATGAACAACCAGAACTTTCCACTAGAGTTTACAGCCTGTGAATGCTAAATAGATAGGAAGTTAAGTTGTCAGTGTAAACCATGTTTGGATTCATCATCATCCTTTCCTTCTTTGCTCAGTAAAAAGCAAATCATATTTTTCAACACCTTGAGGTGTATTGGGCACATTGTCATTACTATAATCAAGTGCCTTGTTGACTGGCCTGGGCGGTCATGCCTCTCCACAACTGCCACAGGTCAGGTTCACTTATGTAAGTGAAACCTCTATGCCACATCTACAGAGAGTCAAAGAATATAATGCTCCCTCTGCACACACTGATGGACATAGAAAATACTGCTGCTGAGAGGGTGACTTGACCAGGAAAAGCCAAAGAAGCTTATAAAGACAGACCTCCCAAACAAACAATATACTCAGTAACGCACTGCCATTGAATCTTCCCCCAAAATTTTATGTCTCGTAGACAAGCTGGTTAAAGGAGAAGGGTGACTGCTGGCAATAGATCTCCTGTTTTAGATATGTATTATTTTAACAAAGCTGTTATGTTCACTGACACAAATAAAATCAGTTCCACAACACTGGAAGTATAGATCAGATTATAGAATTCTATTGCGTATAAAATAAAAGGTTTAATCCTTAACAAAAAAATGACAGACTAGATTGTCTTTCTGACTGGCTGGACAGGCCACTCATCGGATGTTTTAGTTTCCTCTGACTGTTTGATCAGTGACCACCGAGCCACATATACAGGATATCAACTCTCCAAGGCCCCGCCTGACAGTCGATCATCCACCTGGAACCCTGGCAGGGATTAAATAGGATCATCTAAAATTGCTTCAGACAGATTACTTTTCACTTAGCTGACTGCCGGCTGGTGTACTATAGTCAGGATGTTCTGCCCACACGTCTTCCCGCTGAAGTAACCAGAGATTTCAAGACCTCCTGGAAAATGCGATCTCCTGTTTTGACAGTAAAGGAAGTCCAGGCCTCACATGTTGATGCAATCTCCTGTGTCGCAGCTGCCATATATCACAATACCGGTGCATTATTAACGACATATCTAAAAGCATTATATAATGACTATCTATTAAATAAAGCAGGAGATATTGTCTCAAGGCACCTCATGACAACAACCTGCAATCTTCAGCAGTGTGTATCAGTTCAGATGTGCCATCGCCATCTAATGACAAAAGGCTGTCATGAATCGTTGCATGTTATCTTCCTCTGTCTGTTTTTCCAACCTTCACTGTGGAGACGGCACAGCATTTAAAAAAATTTTTTTTTTTACAACAAAAAACCTTCACTTTATACTGCAATCCTGATTACAATTCTAATATTTATAAATTATAAGTTTTTCAGTATTAAAAAAAAAAAATAACTGCAGTTTTTGCCCGTATTTACCACTTTTGCATTGTAGTGTTGGGGGGTGGGGGGGGGGGGGGCCTGATCTTTGAATCCGAGGATTATGGGTCTTTTGTCTAGTGCTCTTGCCACAGATTGTGTAGGTAAGGATTCTATTTTTGCCCCCGACAGAAAAAAATCCCCAACCTCATTGAGGATTTGAACCTGTCTTCAGCTTGAGAGCCCAACATTCTAACCATTTTGCCAGCTGCTCCTCAAGATTCTTTAGTTAAAAAAAAAAGGGGGGTCTATAGCAGACCTTAGAAAATAAATGGTCTTAGCTAAATATGAGCCACTGCTGTATGTTATCATAAAAAAACGGGGAGTTGCGTTGTCTCAAGACATGATGTCCCCTCGAGTGCTAGAGGTTCCGGGCTCAGAACCCGGTAAAGGCTAGGATTTTTTCACATAGACTTGTACTTAATTCATTCCCCCTGGTATCTGAGTAGTCAGATCGGATGCCTGTGTGCATTGTTGCACATGTTAAAAAATCCTTGACAGTTGGAAATCAAAAAGAGTAGCCTAACGGCGCTGCCCAGGCAAAATTTGGAGCTAAAAATCTGCACAAAGTATTTCAGGATCCTCGCCCGTGCTACACAGCCTATGCACTGTGCTGAGCTTCTTTGGACTCAGACTTGAGTTAGATAAAGAACAGAGCACTTATGGATTGCTACCCATGTGCTATGATGTTGATCCATTGTTCAAACCTCAAACCGGTATATGAAAATGAGTATGATGCAGCCTTATTTTTTTTCTGGCTCTCTCACTATTTTTGACCAGGTCGTCTTTGCCATGCACTCTTCTTTACATGTTGATGTGTATATTACATTGATCTGTTGTTTACTGTTTGTTTCCATTCTGCTTAAAACATGCAATCTTCTGCAAGTGATCATTTTGCTTTTAGGCTGATACGCCAGGTTGGCCATAAACTGAGGAAAATTGGAGCTTTGACACATCCACTGAGAGCTGAGAAGAATGAGGTGACAGTTTGTATTTTTGTTTATTTCTGTTACTATTTGTTGGCATAGTATTTTAAATTTCACCACATAGTAACAGTCGAAAAAAAATTGTGACCTACTGTATATGCATCTGTGTGCTAGTGTGGTGTTGGGGAAGTCTTTTAAAGAAATTATCTTCTAGCAGGAATTTTTCAAGATTACATCACTCTGACCATGTGAAAGATCATGTTTATTATTTGAATTTCAAAAAGGCCACATACATAGTGTAAGTGGCTATGGGAGAAGCCAGATTTCTTTTAAGTTCTGGCCAAATGTAATAAGTAAGAAAAGAGCCAGTACATCATGTGTTATTTCTCTTTCCTTCTCTTCTGTTGTACCCCACCAGGACATCGCAGATGAGGATCACCCATGGAGAGGTCTTAGAAACCCCTTTCAGCCGCTAGGCCATATTTATGACCTGGCTATATTTAGGGCCCCCAGCAAAAGCCAGGGTGGGGCTTCAAATAACGAAAAATTGCATCCCACATTGGGAAGACTACTTTACTTGTTTTTTGGGACTGACAGAATTAACACTTGTTTCTGACTGTTTCAGTTTATGGTTGAAGTTGTGATTGTTGTTGGGGTTGAGACTGGAATTGAGACCGGAGTTTCTATATCTACTGATCGCTGGGAGATATATGTATATATATATATTTCAGAAATAGCACTGATAACACAATTTTGTTAGAAATACTTTTGCGAGTATAAATAAATTTCAAAGCAGATGCAGTTGTCATAAAGTTGTGAAAATTCAAGCTTTAAGATATACTAACTCATTGTGATGTGAGCAGCTTTCTTCCTTTCCACCTTGTATTCCAAAAGAAGTGTCTAATATATGTTTTGGGAGATTAAATCAGCTCCACCTCTTCATGCCGTTTCTGAACTCAGGCTTTATTGTTAACAAAACAGTACATGCTCAGTAATTCTGGTATGGCTCTTACATATATAATGGCACAATTTGTATTCTAGAGCCATGATGATGTGGAAACAAAAATCCAAACAATGTTAAGAAGTAAATCCAAGCTCTTATTTGGATGGCAGTCAAAGTAGTTAGCTTGCTTGCTTCCTGACCTGATAGTAATAAGTTCAACCCTCCTGTAAACTGGAATAAAAAAAATAAAATAAAAAAGTTGACTTGGACTGCCAGATCATCATCATCAATTTCCCCTTTTGCATTAAGCAATGTCGGGAGGAACAGTTTGCGATCCATTTCTTGATGGGTAGCGATGGCAGTTGTAATGCCATGTTGATGTAGAATCTCTTGAATGTCATCAGTCTCTCTTCACTTAGAGCAACCTCTTGCTTTCACATCAGATCTTTTCACATGTAGCGCTCATGTAGGTAGTTCTTCTGACTGCATTTTAACAAGATGACCAGACCAATTGATCTTCTGTTTCTTAATGAATTTGCTGCATGGTTTTTGTACAGCCAGATCAACCTATCCTAAAATGAGTACCCTGAAATATTTATGAAAATAAAGGCAACTGGCATTATACTCACTTTATTATTCACCTTCTACTGACTGGTTTATTGAACTATGCAGTTAACACCTTGCTGTACTAGTGGCAATACTAACAGAATAGTTTATGTAGTCTTGGGTCTGACCGGCTCACTACACTCAGGGGAAAGGCAAGGCGGACATATAACCAGATTGTGACCGGTACCATCAGTATTGGAACTCTGCGCTGGCTGCTGAAGATGAGAACGGAGCATGCATGGGAATGCCCCATGTGCTGTGATGTCAATTCTTGACTCAGCTCAACTCAACTCTTTATGTAGTCTTTGTTTGTTGAGACAAGAAAGAACTCTCAAGAGCTATATAAATCCTATCCTGAATATACGGAAGTAAATCATGGACAGTTGAATGTTCATTGAGCAATTATTTGAAAGCTGCGGAGATGTGGTTTTATAGAAATATGATGAGAACACTGTGGACAGATAAAAAGAGTATTGAAAGATTCTGGCTCACGAAGTGAACTCATTGCCCATAGAAGGAGAAGGAGACTTCTTCTTCTTCTTCTTCTTGTTCACCGGCTGTGAATTCCGGCGGTAAGTCGCGGTTGTTCATCCAAATGGACTTTTGGCTTTTACCTCGACCTGAGTTTTGCGTGTACATCCGTTTTACTGTCTTATTTGTTTGCAGTCCTCGTTCCCTGCCTCACCGGCAGATGTACTCCGACTTCGAGGGAAGACGTCACGCCTATTTCTAGGTTGACTGTAGCCATTGTTTTGTGTGGGTCGAGATGTTGCCTCATTTGTGTGGTGTCCTCTTTGACCTTTAACAGGTGTGGCCCCCGGAAAATCCTCCTAAGGCAGCCCTAGGTAGAATTGTCAGCCCTCAAGGAAAGGCAGGGGCAGATCATGGGCATTCCCCGCCATCCAAGGAGGCTTCCATAAATGCAGAGCCGACACATGATGCTCTGGTTCTGGGCTCACCCAAGCAATCGTCACGTCCTGCCCATGACTGCTCAACCTCACAACCGTGCTACAAGGCTGCGCTCTCCGGAGATCAGCGGGGAGCAGCCCGCAGGTCCAGGACGTTTGTGGCCACACAAATGGGTACATTCTTTTTTCATCATACGTTAGACACCTTTAACGTTGTTTCAACTGTGCCCTTGGCACGACAGAATGGGAAAGCAACATGCGTCAGGCGTGGCTTCGCCTGTTCGGTCCCAACACTCGGGTGAGTGGGACCAGTGGATACGGACATTTGGACTTTTCCTAATCGGTACGAATTATGGTCATCGGACTTTGAGCTTGCATGTGTGCCGTAGGATTTAACTTTGTCAGACATTATTTCCTAGCCAGCAGATTAAAAGTTGCTGCCTTGGTGTACCTCAGCGCGGTGACGACGACGCTGAGGATTGACAGAGGATGTACGTACGTAGGATCTTGCTGCGATAATTCACTCACAAGAGATGTTACCCGTCTTGGCTGCGGGTAAAACTCTCTGTCAAGGGTTGAGTCTCAGCAGCTTCGCTTCAGACTTTTACCTGAGAGTTGTCATTTGATGGTACATTTGGCAAGCAATCCTTACTCATCTTCCGAATGAGTTTTGATAGACTTTTCACCCATGCGTTTGGGGGCGGGCTGATGAGAGCCAGAAAGGACACTACACCTCTAGGGGCCGCCAGCTCCGAGATCCCCTGCCAACTCTGTTAATGCTCATTTGAGACATTATCCGTGGCGCACGACGGGGACGTGCAGCAGGAGTCTTGCATGAGGTTCCGTAAAACCAGAACAGTGAAGGACTGGCGCCCGAGTGGGGTACGGAATATCTCCTTATACACATCACATCAGACTTAACTTCCGCTCATGCCTGTGACCGAAATCACCGCGCCACGAGAAGGAGACAATCTACATTCTTTATCATGTCTTGAAAAGGAGAAAACTGGAGTACCTTGTGATGGTGGGAAAGCTGAATGGAAAAAGAAGCGGAGGGAGACCATGGGAGATAACGCTGGACAGTTTAACATCATGGCATGGAAGATAATTTGTGTCAGAACTGATTGAAATTACAGAAGGTTGTGGATAGACATGATTAACAATTCCACACGGCATGGACTATAAGAAGAAGAAGAATTTTAACAGATAACAAATGGTTTAAATTGGTGTCACAAACCAAAAAAAAAAAAAAAAAAAAAAAAAAAAAAAAGGGGGGGGGGGGATTTAATATAAAGATGGCTGAACAAAATGCCCCACAATAAGTTATAAAAAATAGTATTTATTAATTATCAGTTTATGCATCAGGAATGTTTCAGCTAAACAAACATGATTACAATAGTGACAAATTGTTTAGCCATGTTTTAGTATAAGTTACGATTTTGCAACAAAACCCAACTTTACCAGGGCAGATGGATGCCTTCATCACTTCAGATGTAAGTGAAATCAAGTCTGAGTGTACATTTGTAATATTGGGCTTCCCCCAGGGTCTTTCCTGTGTGTGTGGTTTCTGGGAACAGAGTCTGCTATGACTGTAAAGTCTAAGTGGGGGTGGCAGTCTCTGCCACACAGTTCACATAAAATGTTAAAACTTTATTACACTGGGGCTGGTTTTCTGTCTTTTCTGTAAGCTGTTCTTAGCTAGAGTCCCATGTAAATCTTTCTGTAAGCTGTTCTTAGCTAGAGTCCCATGTCAATCTCTTTTCTGTGGTTGTGGTTAGGATATTGTGAATGGAGCTGTCTACCTGAGCCACATTGAGGAGCTGCTGGAAAACTGCTTCAGTGCGTTGGACAACTACACTGGTCAGTTGACAGCCCTGGTCAGCTGGCAGTGCCCACAGTCTCATGAGGACATTCAAGTTTCAGGCTACAAACTTCTGCTAGATGGCAAGCAGTATGGAAGTCCGATGCATGCTGGTATCAGAACAATCAAAGTACAGGTAGGTAGAGAAGCTATTAGGAAAACTCTTGTCTTCTTCTTCTTTTCTAGTTCTGTTCTGCCTTTAAGCATCAGGTTTTGAAAAGGTATCAGATGAGAGTCTTGGTATGTGCTACGTCAGTGCTGGTATTTACAGCCTCTGTTACTCCATCTATCCAATGCTTGCATGGTCAACATCTGGGTCTGCTTCCACTGTGTCTAAGTGGTGAACTGTCTGGTGGTAATCTTGACACATGTCCAAACCATTTGCTCTGTTGTGAGTTATGAGTTGAATTATCTTCACAGCACTCCAGACACATCCATGGGTGCTCAGATTCCCCCCTCAACATATTCATCAGCATCCCGCGGTTAATAGTGCCAGTCCTGTGCAGGTTGACAAGACTTTTCATGAATCCGGTGTGCTTCTCATGCTTGTCTGTGGGGATCTTTACTCCCAATTCTTGTCTTCCTAGCAGTGATGTGGACACGTGCTTTCAAAATCCTTGAAACATCCTATCTCTCTAAGGGCATTGACACTGTCTCCGTGATCCATGGACCGCAATCTTCAATTATTGCGTTAACTACCAGTCTGTCAGGTCTTTCATTACCAACAACACCTGCATGACCTGGGACAAAAATGAAAGTAACTGCACACACAGGTAAGTAAGTTGGGAAGTAAAGGACTCTTTTCCATGCCTTTAGACATACAGGGCATATAGGGCTAGACCTATATTTTTATAGACAAGTCAACACAAGATGGGGGATGTGGTCAGCATCATGCTGGTCGCCTTTACTGGGTCGACCTGGGAGCCAAGGTCATTTTTTTTCAAAGTCCGACTCCGCCAGGGATTGAACTCACAACCTTCCAATCTGTGGCAAGCATCTAGCCACACACACAGGAGAGTTTTTCAATGACTTAATCCACTGTCTGCGTAACCAGCCACACAAAAGCTTGTGTCATTTGTGTCTTGATACAGTCAATCATCTTCTACCATAGGGTGTAGAGGTTTGCCAGAGAGATCGCCAGACTTCTCTATCAGCAGTTTTGTTTCTTTCTGGCTTTGTTCCATTCCAATCCTCTGTCAGTCAAATATGAAGATGTTGTTTTCCCACCTGTGTTGTCTTAAAAGTCCATTTCACCGACATTAAGATCCGTCCAGGTTTCTCTCTGTGATAACTGGTAATCGTACTTTTAGGCAAACAGGTGATTGGCCTGTCATGCCTCTGCATGGTAGAGGGGCTGCCTCCTTGTGGCCTCCATGCAGGCTATTTGGTTGATTTACGGTTACTCACTACTTTTGGAGACACATGAAGTAATAAGGTTCAGCCAGACCCTCCTTCTTTTTCAGGCGGGATTGGGCCCTGTCCTATTGTTTAATATATTGACTGCAGTTTTATTTTGTCTGTCAGTCATGGTAAGTGTGTAATTTGGAGAGATCTGTTTAAAATAGGATTTTTTAAAAACTCAAGGGAACTTGGCAGAGAATGAGATAACATGTAATATTAAATGAAAAACAAAAAGATGGTGGATGACAGGAGGATAGAGAAATGGGTGCTTTCCTAATATCCTAGCCCAAACAGGGAAAATCTGAGGGTCATGGGACAGTCTAATATTTCAAGGGGTGGTAGATAAGCTGCATGCAAATATGGGACCTAGGCTGAATCCAGTCTCTCGTGGTATTAGGGTCAGTTCTAGATGTTTTGTGGTCATTAAAAGCATCAGAAAGCTGGGAAATCCTGTCTTACCACCCTCTAAAATGTTGGACTGTCCTGTTAAGTCATCTGGGGTAGGATATTACGAAAAAAACCCAGGAAAGGGTCAGTTTTCTGTAGTTTGGAGAAATATCAACATTTGAATTGATTCATGGTGTTGGATAGTAGAAAATCTGGAAATGGCATCATTGCCTATGCCCCTTGAGCTGACAAGACACTTCATAAAGATAAAAAATTCAGAGAACTAAAGTTGTAAGTAGTAGTAGTAGGAGCAGCAGCAGTAGTAGCAGCAGTAGTAGTAGCAGTGGTACCAGTAGCAGCAGCAGCAGTAGTAGAAGGAGCAACAGCAGCAGCAGTAGTAGCAGTAGCAGCAGCAGCAGCAACAGCAGTAAACCTTAAAAGTGGTAATAAAGGCAGCAACTGGCAGTGTATAGTATATATATTGATTGTATAAGATAGATTGTAGGAGTACAGACTGTCAATTTCAGTATATTTTAAATGTACTTTTAAACAATTATAGTAATTATATTGTCTATATCTTTGTGGGTATTCAAAATGATATGGAATACCATTATTCTGTACTAAAATATAATAACACTTCATATGCTAACTCCTGTTTGTATGATGTACTCTTTAATCCTTCCCTATAGATTTTTAGAGCCATCTACTCTCAGCATATTTTATATTGTCATAAGAAGTTGTTTGTATTTTTGGCCTGAACATCCATACAGTTAACTAATCATAATTTTGGTTGATCATGCAGCTTGGTCTTGAGCAGCCCAGTTATCGACTGTCTATGGTAGCCACCAGTGACAAACCAAAAGGGGTCAGCTGTGAGTCCAACACTGTTGAAGTTCTGACCATGCCATTCAAGCCGTTCACATTTTACTGCTATCACAAAATTCACAGGAAAGATATGAAGTAAGAATGTAATCCTGTCTCCGCTCACTAGTGATATGTTTAATCCTGCCTGAGGAAAGCAACTAATAGCATCCACTACAGCTTTAATTAGGTTAGGCAACTTTTTAGGTTCCTGTGGCGAAGTAGTCAAGCCATTTGCCATGTGCTCTGAAGGTCATGGGTTCGCTTTATTGCATTGTTGTTCAGTTCATAAGTTCAATTTTTACAGAGATTCCTAGGGATTGTCACCGGAGCTAGAGTTCATGCTTTGTTTGATGAGAGAGAGAGAGAGAGACTGAGCCATACAGGATAAAACCAAGTGCAATGAAATTGATACTCTCGACTTTTAACTTAAATTTTTTTTTTTAGGGATAAAAAATGAAACAGTAAAATCTTCCTGACCTTAGTTACTGAATAGTTAAGCAGTTGGCAACCATCTTAAGATTACATTGAACCCTTTCACCTTGATCAAGCAAAAAAGAAAACTTGAGTCATGACACTTGGGAATTCTAAAAATAAAATATGTTTAAAAACAACAATTTTCTACAGGTCACTAATAAATGTATTTAAAAAATATATATTTGTACACACCTCTCCATTCGCAACCCCAATATATAATGATTTATAGAAGGTGCAATCAGTAAACATTCACAGATTTTACATCATTCTTTATTAATACTTTGGCCTCTGATGTTAAATCCTCTGGCACTGAAAGAGTTAAATGAGAAACTTTCCTTGAGGCCTAAAAAAATATATGTATTGGATGACTCATGCTGTGACTTCATACCTCTATTACTGAGGCTAATGGGAAAATTTGACCTCAAATTGGCTTTAAAAAAAGTTATTTAGTTTGGATGAAAACCTCTCAAATGCTATTTGTAGCTAATATATTTACATCTTGTCCTCGTAAACGTTTGTGCAGATGCAAACTCAGCTAAAAGTAATAATTGTAAGTCTCGTTAACAAGTAACTGTAGACAAGTCAGAAAAATGACATTTATAGGAATTGGCCCCAACCTGGAGTGTCTAGCTCACAACCTCTTGGCTGCTGACTGAAGACTTTATTGCTGCAGACATTAGGTCAAACATTTCTTAACATGCAGGTTACAAAGATAGTACAGCCTAACATACTTTCTAAGATTCACATGGTGCAAACTTTTTTTAAGTTTTAGTTTTCATGTTAGGCGGCTGCATTTTCATGTTAGGCGGCTGCATTTTCATGTTAGGCGGCTGCATTTTCATGTTAGGCGGCTGCATGGTCTCAAGGCATGGTGTCCGCCTCAAGTGCTAGAGGTTCCGGGTTCAATCTCCTGGTAATGGCTGGGATTTTTTTTCACGTGGACTTGGACTTCTAGTAATTTTTCCTGGTCTCTCGGTAGTGATATCGAATGTCTGTGTGCATTTTTGTGCATGTAAAAAAACCTTTGGCAGTTGGAAATTGAAAAGCGAAGCCTAACAGCACTACCCAGGTAAAATTGTGTGAAAAAAAATCTACCCAAAGTATTTCAGGATCCTCACCAATGCTACAGAGCCTGTGCACTGTGCCGCTCTTCTTTGGACTCAGACTTAAGTTAGAAGAAGAACGGAGCACTTATGGGTTACGCCCATGTGCCATGATGTTGATCCATTTTTCAAAACCTCAAACCTTTTCATGTTAGTGTCAAGGATTATTCTGGCTTAAATGTAGACTGTTTGTCAAATGGTGAATGACATAATGTTTACATAAATAGGTATGCTGTATGTATTTTAAATATGTCAGATTTGGATCCTTTGGTGTATATGCCAGATTTTCACAATGGATAAATTTGTCCACCGACAAAAGGCTTAGATTTCTTGAAGCAGCCATGATGAACTGCCTCTGTCCTGAACTTTGTAAACAGAAAGACATGATTTTTACAATGCAGTTGACCTTGTAAAACAGGCAGTTGCTTTTAAGTGTGGTTGAATTTATACTTCAATTATAAATGATTCACTTATTTGCTTTATTTGTTTAGGTTTAGGTTTAGATGATGAATCAACGTCATGGCACAAGAGGTAACCCATACGTGCTCCGTTCTACTCCTCACTCACTGACTCAAGCCTGAGTCTGAAGAATCTCAGCGCAGTGTACGAACTCTGTAGCACCGGCGAGAATCCTTAAATACTTTGGTTAGACTTTTGACTCAAAATGTTGCCTGGGCAGCGCCATCAGGCAACTCATTTCCAACTGCCAGGTTGTTTTTTTTTTACGTGCGCAACAATACACATGGGCGTCCAATCTTACTACCCAGAGACCAGGGAAAATTGCTAGAAGTCCACGTCAAAAAATCCCAGTCTTCACCCGGGCCTGAACCCAGGACCTCTAGCACTCGAGGCGGATGCCTTGAGACCATGCAGCTCCTCCCTCTTTATTTGTTTAATTGTTACTGTAGTATGCACAATATGCCAGGCAATAAATTGTGCAATCTGTTGTTTGTGTCTTCTTTGTTCCAATAAATATGTTGTTAAATGTTCTCTCAGATATCCTGCTTATGGTTGCTGTAAGTATCAGGACTCAATTCAATATGAAAGACAATCTGCCAAAAAACTGGCTAATCAGGGCCTTTTGCAGAAACAGATACCCCCACCAGCCTGCAGCGTCTTAGATATTTTTGATGGCGAGTTCAAACCTCTGATGTCCAGCCACAGCCCTCGATGTCCAACAGCTGTTTTGTTCTGGACTCCCTGGTGCTTGTCTTCACAGAAAATGATGGATCATTTCATCCGATTTGCCAAGGACAACACCAAAGAGGTATGCGTTTGTTTAAAAATGGAGGAGAGCTGAATCTGGTTTGGCATAACGTGCATCTTGTTTACATATATGATTTAGGGACAATATTACCAAACCTCACAGTATAGTTAGCCATCTTTATGTGTGGCTTCCAGGGCCCCATTACTGAAGCAAAAGAATAAATCCACAGCTGCTTATGAAGCGTATCCTAAAATGTTAAATTAAGGGTTTGCTGAACTCTGATAATTTGCTGAAATCTGATAATTTGCTCAAATCTGACCTGATTTGCTGAAATCTGATAATTTGCTGAAATCTGACCTGATTTTCTCAAAAGTACAGATATCACAGCCTAGTTGTAAACTGCAACACAATTTTCAAGCTACTCTTTTAACTCTTTGACCTGTAAATGCAAGGGAATAGGTTCACGAACCGGTGATAGTTCTATCCCTCCTCCCACCCCCCTTGACCCCCCTTTTTCCCAGACAATTTTTAAAAAATTAATTAAAAAAAAAAAAAAATTCACAGGTAACTATTTAATTGCTACAAAATATATTTATCTACATTTGAACAAAGAAGACACAAACAATAGATTGCACAATTTATTGCCTGGCATATTTTGCTGTACCTTTTCAGGTGCATACTACAGAAAAAAATTTATTAAAATGAAGCAAATAAATCAATCCTCCTAGCTGAAACACAAAATCGACTACATTCACACACTGTTTCACCAGAGTAACTGCAAGGTGATGAGCATTTCCTTTAGTCTGCTGGATTAAAGGGGCTGATAGCTGATGCTTCCAAAAATCACAGTAATCTATGGTTGGCCAAAGTGTAAATAATTCAAAATGCATCATCCTTGTTTACCATGTGTTCAGAATTTAGAGGATGGCACGCAGTTGCTGATGATGGATTTTTCTAGCAGTCAACTGATTTGTTGTTGTTGAATTGTTGTTAGTGTTGTGTATTGTTTTTACCACCCATAGTGGACTATGTTCAGCGACCCCTCTCTCCAGTCATCGATCTGCTCTGCCGACATATGCAGCATTACAGGTGCATTTAAATTGGTAAATACAAGTAGATTCGACACTGATTCTTTCACTGGTGGTGTAGAAATGACAGTGGTTTTAAATCCGATAACAGGCATGGCTGCGTAAAAAGTTTGACTGACTGCTGTTTTCAGTCAGTGATATAAACGTTGCATAACATCATCTCCCCAAAAAGTTAGGTGGATATAAACTTGCTTTTCTGTCACCAACATTTCTATGGCAGTTGGTTTTGGTGACTGGCAATGGTGCTTAATAAAAACCACTTGGATATCCATTAGAGAGCAGTGTTTGTTTATGCATTTCAAATTCTTTTTGTTGTGTGTCGCTGGAACAAATCTTTCTTGCACGGTTGAATAACGGTTTCACTAGACTACGCTTGTATTGCATGGTTGCAAAACTGTTAAAATGGATGTGCTGGTCTGTCAAAGTGTCTTACGATAAACTGATCTTTCCATAGTGCCATCATCTCTATGTCTAATTAAAGTATCTAAAAGGCCAAGGCGTTGCTACTTTCATGTTGTAGGAACACTGCGATGATTTTGTGTGCTTGGTTCATTTTGGTGTGAAATGACTCTGCCTGTTGCTTGTTAGTGGCAATGATAATTATGTCATCCACATACGTCAGTAAAATACAAAACTCTCAATATCAATGAACATTTGTTCCTCTAAGTGTGCTATACAGATGTCTGCTAGAATAGGACCCAGGGGGTTTCGCACGGCCATGCCGTCAATCTGGTGGTAAGATTGCTTCAGAAAGGTGAAGCTGATGTTAGATGTGCACAAAAGTAAAAGTTCCTCAAGTTTTGAAGTGGGTAAACCCATGTGCAGCTTTTTATTGTCTATACGATCACATATAAATTTCAGTTTTTTCCAAGAGGACGTTTGTAAATAGCAACGCTACATCCACTGATGCCATGTACTTTTGATTTAGTTTCATTTTTATCGAATAATTCTACCAGTTCAAATGAATCTCTGAGTATTTTGGGCTCAGATGATTGCCGTACTGGTTTTAGCAGTTCCGCTAGCCATTTAGCCAACTGATGTTGAGCTGAACTTATCAACTACAGGATAGTCCTAAAGGGATACCAGGTTTGTGTATTTTTGGAAGACCATACAACTGCAGTATTTGAGAGCCACATGGAGTGAGCATCTGAGCGGTAGCTTTGCTTATAAATTTTCCTCCCAAGAGTGGTTTGATTTCTTTCTTCATTTTCGCTGCTATGTTGTTTACGTTATTAATTTTGGAATCAAGCAGAAATTTTGATTGATCAGATAAAATTTCTTCTATTTTGGTTTGGTAGTTTGACCTTTCCATCAAAACTACATCAATGCTTTTGTCTGGTTTTAATATTATCACTTGTTCGTTGGCTTTTAATGTTTTCAGAGCAACAGTGTGTTCTTAGATAAGGGACTCCCTGTGTGGGTTCTGGGGCCCTATTAAAGGGGGAAAAAAAGAAGAGACCGATTGCATACTCAAAAGCATGTCGTAAGTTGACTGACTGGGAGCTTCCTTCAAAGTCGGAGTGCATCTGCCTGAGAAGCAAGGAACCAGCAGTCTGCATACAAATGAGTCAGATCTGCAAAACGATGCACACGCAAAACTCAGAACAACCAGAACTTTCTGCCAGAGTTTACAGCTGGTAAACGTGAAGAAGAAGAAGATAAAGGACATTTTTGTTTTGATTGGGATGTGTGATCCTGGTGTTCCAAATCCAGCAGTTTAGCTTTTAATCATCCAAACGAATCGGTAAACCATGGGGTCTGTGTCGACAACTGATCAAAGAACATTTTGAACTGAGCGTGTGATTTGATGGTGTTGTCTTATTTAGGTTTTAAGCAGAACTTTACTCCATAAGTGAGAGCTTCAGTTTGCAATTTACTGAGTGTAAATGAAGATAGGTTAGTCACGTGTTTCTCAGGATTGCCAAGTACAGAAGAAGTAATCTTTTCAGAACTTAATGACTTATTTAAGCATGCAGTTTCTTGAATTTTCACTTTACCTACTGTTTTTCGATGCAAAATTTTGTGAATTTTAAGTAATAATACAAAGTCAAATTGTTGGTTATTAGGCCGAACTGTGAATTTCGCCTGAATTCATGTTTTTATCACCATCAGATGAAATCCACATGTCATTTCTATCACGATTAGATGATGTACATAGCTGTGGCATGTGGTCTGACTGGTACAGCAGCAGAAAGCAGAAAAACCCTGGCGCACACTATCACAGCCAACAGCTGGCGAGAAGATCAGACGGTGTGGCACGTTACGGCCGACTGTGCTTCGAATGTGTACGAGACCATGAACAGCATTAATCGTACAATCACAGGTGGGAAATAGGGTATCTGTGAAGTGTGGGATATAGGAGTGGATGCATAGGATAGTGATAAATGACTGTTTGTGAAATGTTAGTTGTGTTGGTGATGTTGGCAGGTTTGCCTTATTGAGAACTACACTGTTAATAATCGTGTACTGTCATTTGATTTTCAGCAACTATCTTAAACAGGCTATAGGAATCTCATTCAGCTGTTTTGCATGGCACAGATACACCATCCATGTTTCACATGAGTAGAATAGCACTCATGCATCTTTCCTGTAGCAACATATGGATGCGAGTTTGTGGACTATATCCCAGTCCTTAAGGAAGAAAATAGGGGTTTTTGAGTCAAAATGCTAGAGAAAGATCCTCAGAATACCATGGACAAAGAAGAGAAGAAATACTGACATTTTAACAAATACAAATATCAAGGAAGATTGGCTAATAAACAGCATCTTGTCTTGGAAGCTGAAATATTTTGGTCAAATCCAACACCACGATGGAGTGGAAAAATAATAGCAGAAGGCTACCAGGAAGGAGGGGCAGAGGCCGACCAACATGAAGATAACAGGATATAAGAGCTGAGTTTTTTCCAGGCAGACAGTGATGAGAGCTATGTTCTGCAAAGAACTCACAACATGATGATGAGAATAGTGCTAGTGAAACTGAAGCACTGTCAACCTTAGCTTTGTGATGCATAAGTAGATATGTAGGGTAAAGTAACTTAAGTGTGGATTACATTACAGGACATGTAGGGTAAAGTAACTTAAGTGTGGATTACATTACATGACATGTAGGGTAAAGTAACTTAAGTGTGGATTACATTACAGGACATGCAGGGTAAAGTAACTTAAGTGTGGATTACATTACAGGACATGTAGGGTAAAGTAACTTAAGTGTGGATTACATTACAGGACATGCAGGGTAAAGTAACTTAAGTGTGGATTAAATTACAGGACATGTAGGGTAAAGTAACTGAAGTGTGGATTACATTACATGACATGTAAGGTAAAGTAACTTATTTGCAAAAAAAAACGAGAAATAGAATTATCAAGATATATTTAAATTCTATCCTTATATATGAAAGTTAATTATGGACAGTTGGCTAAGTAGTGTAAAAATATTGGGTGGAGATATGGTTTTATGGATGAATGATGAGAATGCACAGGTCAGATAAAGAGAGTAATGAGGATGTCTTGAAAGAAGTTACTCAAGAAGAGAACGGATTGCCCACATCAAAAAGAGACAATCTACATTCTTTGGTCATGTGATAAGAAGCTGAAAACTGGCGTACATCATGACAGTAGGAAAGTTTAAGGGGAAGAGAGGTAGAGGGTGACCGAGAGAAAAGATGCTGGGCAGTTTGACATCATGGCATGGAAGATCATTTGTGTCAGAGTTGATTAAAAGTACATGAGACAGAAAGTTGTGGATAGACGTGACTGCCAACACCACACAGCATTGGCTATATGAAAATAACTTTTGGATATATAGGTTAAAATTAAATTTGGTAACTGAAGGATACATGGAAAGATTTATGTGTCAAGCATGAAAGCTGATAGCTTTGTTTTTCCCCCCATTTCCTAGGAAAGAAAATTGAGCAAGATAAAGTCACAGAAAAACTCATGGACCTGACAGAGGTGCTAGGAATTGCAGGGGTGCCCACGCTGTTGTTTATGAGCCCTGAGGGTAAGTGTATTTTGACCTCTTTCCTTCCTCGAGAAGCATCTGGCCCCTTTCACAGATTTACTCTACCGTCCCTGTGAATAAAAAGCCTATTACACTTCATGAACTAATAAATGGTGTCTGGTGTAACAGATTGCAAGAATTGCTGACAGCATTGTTCACTTTACTAAATGGGGCCAATTTTTTTCTTCTTCTTATAGTCCATGCCTGGGACATTGGTATTCATGTCCATCTTCTGTCTCAAATACTTTCAGTTAGTTCTGACACACATAATCTTCCATGCCAAATGGTTAAACTGTCCACAGCATCTTCTTTCTATCTCCCTCTGCCTTTTTTTCCCTCCAACTTTACCACAGTCTTGATGTACTCCCAATTTTTCCTTCTCATGACGTGACCAAAGAATGTAGATTATCTCCTTCTTTTCTCTACTCTTGGAATGCCTTACAGCATCAGGGCAGGAAGAGATCTCTGGAATGGGCCCTTGTGTTCGCTTCATATAAAGTACTTTTCAGTGTCTTTGATATTTCTGCAGCCCATTTAATGCGTGGCGACCTCTGGCTCTTTTACCGCTGTATCTGTATTACTATGCTCTCTGTGGTGCCATGTCTGTTGTAAAACTTGTTACATCACCAGACCATTTGATCTGTCGTCTACCGATAAATTTAAGTACTGGTTCTGTGCCGACCCTTCTCCTGTCACAGTATTATACTATCACATTCAGGCTAGTATAACATAACTTACATTCTAGGATGGCCGAGAAACTGGCTCCATTTAGATGCTGGTCGAACAATTAGTCTTAGTTAGAAATCATAATTTGCCTTGTGGTTACTGGTTGAGTCACCATATTTTTTTTTCTTTAATGTTAAGCCTCAGGGAATGTAACCATTTTAATTCTCCACACCACTTTGTTTATTTCTATTTAAAAAATATAATAATGAAATATTTTTTTTTCAAGTTTGTATAAAGTGGTTGTTTTTAAATAATTGATTTTAGTATTACTGGGTCCATTGCCTTTATTTTACCATGGTTTCCGGTTTGAAAAAAGTAAAAACATATACTTTGCCTACTTTGACTGCAAAACAGGTCACATTGCCTGGCATGGCCGATACTGTGCCTTTGACTACTCAGCGTTTGAATCCTTCATGAGACATGTGGTCAGCGAAGTCCTCAAGCAGCCTTGCCCGGTCTTCAACTGTGACAGCTGCAAGAATGACACCACAGTCGATGAGGATGCTGTAGGTGAGTTCTCTGGAGTTTCTTCTTATGTGGCTTTCATATTTGAGAGCAGACAGTTTTGTACTTACTTTTTGAATCCTCTGGAGATGATGCGGCCGGCCCAGCACAAAGTACAACTGGGGCGATCAGTCAGCAATGTGAAGTAGAAGTCTAGAGATTGGCTGGCAGGTTTTCATACCAGCCAATCAGATTGCTTCTCGCAATTCTTGCATGTGGGTTGTTTAATGACGGCTGGCTTTCAAGAAAGTCTGATGTGTTCTGTAATTTTACAGTGATTTTTTTTATGTGGGCTTACCTGTGCCCAAAGACTGCGAAAAGGCCTGTAGCATCATAGCAACAGAAACGTAGCAGAAGGCATGCAAATGAGTAGAACCACATGTCAGAAGTGTCTGAACAGCCTGCATGGGCCTTATTTCCCCCAAACACAAGTCTTTGGACTTATTCAGTCTTCATGCATCCAAATAATTCACCCAGATTTTTCAGGTTATTCATGTTTGATCCCAAGTTTTTTTAAATAATGCCTGCATAAATTATGCAAATCATAATAGTTAATTTAAATAAATGTTGAGATTTTTGTTGTTCATTGTCTGTCAGTCAGGTGGTTATTATCATCATCCAGGTGCTCATTGTCTGTCAGTCAAGTGATAATTTTCTGTCAGTCAGGTAATCATTGTCTGTCAGCCAAGTCATTGTCTGTCAGTCAGGTGCTCGTTGTTTGTCAGTCAGGTGGTCATTGTCTGTTAGTTAGGTGGTCATTGTTTGTCAGTCAGGTGCTCATTGTCTGTTAGTCAGGTGCTCATTGTCTGTCAGTCAGGTGCTCATTGTCTGTCAGTCAGGTGCTCATTGTCTGTCAGTCAGGTACTCCTTGTCTGTTAGTCAGGTGCTCATTGTCTGTCAGTCAGGTGCTCATTGTCTGTCAGTCAGATGCTCATTGTCTGTCAGTCATGTGGTCAATGTCTGTCAGTCAGGTGGTCAATGTCTGTCAGTCAGGTGGTCAATGTCTGTCAGTCAGGTGGTCAATGTCTGTCAGTCAGGTGTTCAACATCTGTCAGTCAGGTGGTCAATGTCTGTCAGTCAGGTGGTTAACGTCTGTCAGTCAGGTGGTCAATGTCTGTCAGTCAGGTGTTCAACATCTGTCAGTCAGGTGGTCAATGTCTGTCAGTCAGGTGTTCAACATCTGTCAGTCAGGTGGTCAATGTCTGTCAGTCAGGTGGTTAACGTCTGTCAGTCAGGTGGTCAATGTCTGTCAGTCAGGTGGTTAATGTCTGTCAGCCCAGTGTTCATATGTTTGACCACCATTGAGGTGGGATTTATTTAAATGACCTGGGCTCCCGGCAGAGGAGAGGTACTTAATTTTTAAAACTTAACCGGAGACAGACGTTTTTCCAGGTTTTGGTTGACATGATGTCTTTCGACAATGCCCAGCAGGCATTATGACAGCTTTGGTAATGGCTGCAACTGCTTAGTGTGTGGACATGATTGTTATGATATTTATCAAAACAATTATTGAGTGTTTTTGTTGGTAAATTGAAAAAAAAAAATAAAACGGATATTTAAAAATTTTTATGTCACATTATCACATGATTGCATCAAATTGCTATCTATGGCAAAGTGACGAAAACCACTTCTTAATTGTCAAAGGGAAGGAAATCAGTTAATTATTTGTTCTGTTTGTATTTAGCAATTACTCTCCTTTTAATAGAAATAAACCTTTTCCTGCTGTATACACATGGTGACTTGAAAAAGTAAGTGATGTAGCATCATCAAAGTGGCAGAGTTGTCTCTCAGTGGAATTTAAAAAAAAAAAATGACCAAGACTCAAAATTTCTTTGGCTTCTTCTTCTTTTTGTTATTTTTGGGTAGAGTTTAAAAGAATTATAAAATTTTTTAGTCATCCCCTTCTGGGATCCAATTTTTGTTATTTGAAGCCCTACTCTGGCTCTTGCCAGGGGCCGCAATATAGACCGGCCATAAATATGGTCTAATTGCTGAACGCGGTTTGTGGGACCTCTCCACGGGTGATCCTCATCCACATGGTGGCACTTTGTGTCATTGGGTGCTTGTGGTGGGGTAAAAGAAGATAAAGAATTATAATTATATGTGCAGTCCTCCTCATGTGGGATGCAATTTTTTTTTTTTTGAAGCCCCACCTTGGCTTCTGCCAGGGCCCCTGAAAATAGTCGGGGCATAGATATGGACTAGCCATAGATATTTCCTAAAGGGGTTTCTGGGACCTTTCCACTGGTGATCCTCATCCACATTGTGGTACTTTGTGTCATTGGGTGTTTATTGCTTGTGTGATGTCCTGGTGGGGTACAACTACCAACCAACCAAAGAATTATAACAATGCACTTTTGGTAATAAACCTTGAAAAAAGATCATTGTTAAAGATTTTTTACTGTTGCAAAAGGGTTAAAACTGACATGCCAGATTGGAGTTGACTGTTAGTGGAAATTTATCCAGGTTTCCTCTTCTGCTTAGGTAAACTATTGAAAGAAACAGCTTCGTCACAAAATGCACACACAACATCCAGGACTCTAGTGCCTTACATCTGGTCCCCAAGACACACAAAACAGACGTCAGTGAGCGGCTCCACCAGCAACATGGCCAAAACTCAGAGACCTGGTAGTCCTCGGCGAAAAGTCAGGTATGACTTAACTGTCAACAGACGTCCGTACTCTGCTTCCAACGTCACAGGAATGTGGGACAAGTCACCGTACGCCACCTGTGTGGCACCACATCTGCACCGCCCTCACAAGATCAAGCCCCGACCACTGAGTGCCAAAGTGCCACATTACCCACACAAAGATGCTCAGCTGAGTTGACCTCTGACATGTGCCATCCAGTGATATTGTGTATGTGTGAGTTTGTGAAAACAGTTGATCATCATCATCATCTTCCATTTTGGCTGTTTAGTGTTGTGGGGAGGAACCTGTGGTGATCCAATGCCTGATGGGCAGCATTTCGTGTCAATGTAGAAGGTCTTTAATGTCATCACTCCATCTTCTTCTATAGCAGCGGTTCTCAACCTGTGGGCATGACCCTTTTGTAGGTTGAATAAATCTTTTGCAGGGGTCGCCAAAGACCATCGGAAAACACATATCCACTAAATTTATGAAGTAGCAACAAAAATAATTGTATGTTGGGGGGGGGGGGGGGGGGGGGGGGGGTCACCACAACATCAGGAACTGTATTAAAGGGTCACGGCATAAGAAAGGTTGAGAACTACTGCCCTAGAGTGATCTCATGCTTTCACATAAGATCTTTTCTCGTGTAGTGCATGTGTTGGTAGTTGTTCTGGTTGCATTTTAATGAGATGACCAAACAATTTGATCTTCTGTTTCTCAATGAATTTGGCAGTGTTGTTCTCACAGTTTGTCTGTCTTATTTCGTCTCAGATGGTAAGGTTGGCAACTTTTCAAAGTCATCTCGTGTCACATGTGTTAATTTTGCGATGGTTGGCCTTTAATAATGTCCATGTTTGGCAATAGTAGCACTATATTAGTATGAATATACTGTTTATAAAACAGTTGATATCCCCTTTAAGGGCAAGTTTGTATACTGTAAAAATACTTTTTCATTATCTGCATGTTAAAAAGGTGGTTGGCACACTGTGTTGTGGTTTACAGCTAGGCTGCAATATCTGTACCTTTTAGTCCAGCTCATTCAATTAAAGCTTATGACATGCTTATTAGGAGCGGCTGAGTGGTCTCGAGGTATGGCATCTGCCTTGAGTGCTAGAGGTCATTGTTTCAAATCCTTGCAAAGGCTTGGATTTTTCATGTGAACTTTAGTAATTTCTCCTGATTTCTGGGTAGTAAAACAGGACGCTCGTGTGTGTTGTTGCGCAAGAAAAAAAAAATTCCTTGGCAGTTGGAAATTGAAAAAGACTAGCCTAACGGCGCTGCCTAGGCAAAATCTGGAGTTAAAAATCTACCCAAACAAAGTATTTCAGGATCTTCGCCAGTGCAACGGAGTTCATGCACTGCTTTGAGATTCTTCAGTCTCAGACTTGAGTTAGAGGTAGAACGGAGCCCTTATGAATTACACCCTTGTGCTCTGATGTTGAACTGTTGAATAAACAAACAATAAACAAACAGGGGCGGCATTTTTTGCAATAAATCAGTGACATTAGAAGTTGGAGTAAGAATTCTCTTAAGCTTATAGAGCTAGTTTTAAGACATGGCTGCGAATCATGAACAATTAAAAAAACAAGCCAACCAGTTTCTTGAGGCCTCAGAGATGTGGTTTTACAGAGGAATCCTTAGATTCCTTGGACAGTCAAAAAGACATACATGTTGTTGAAGGTGGCAGATTATGAACAGACAGAATCACCTATGCCAGTCAGCAAGGTACTTCATGATGATGTGGAAAAGAGGGGTGGGGTGTGTCAGTGGGTGTGTTCTTTGTATTCCCCATGACCCACTTGGAGAGTAAGAATCATTATTATACCAGTAGTATAAAAAAGTGTGAGTGTATTTTGTGACAGCAGCAGTACTGCATGTGTCTGCAACTTTGAATTATGAAGAAATAATCAATTTTCAGCACAGATAAGAAAATAACTAAAGAAGCATTATTTTTTAATCTCCTCATGTAAGTAAAGTAAAGTAAAAGTAAAGATCCCTTTTCACGCCTGTTAGGCGCATCGGGCATATGGGAAGAGCACCCATATTTTTACAGACCGATCGGCACTCGGTGGGTAATGTGGTCAGCATTACACCGGCCGTCTTTACTTCCCCAGGACAGCCATCCTGGTACCCATTTGAGGCTGGGTCGACCTGCGACGTCCCATACCACGATAAAAATCCACGCAGCCCGCAGTGGGTTTAGATCGCGGTACGTTGGATTATGAGTCGTACTCGCAACGCCTTATCTCCTCATGTACCCAGTAATAAAACTTATGTGTACACTCAACACTACTTCCAGCATGTACAAAATAAAATGTACACAGTAACAGGTCACTGCTTACATTTTCTAACTTCTTCATTTATACTTTATTTCATTTATTTTTATTGCTGCAAGTTGTTTCCTGTTAATTTTTAAAAATTACATTATTCTTGTGAAGTCTTTCACATCAAAGTTATCCTGCAGTATTTTGACCAGTTTCACTTTATCAAAACCTTTAATGTAATCTATGAAGCACAAGTACACGTTTTTATGTTTCTCTCTGTTAGAGTTATGGGAAGCCCTGTCCATACAGGTCATCACTGTGTGGAAATGCATGGGACACCCAGGACATCACTTCGCTACAATGTGTTTTTTGTGTGTGACTGGCCATGCATTCATTCTTAGGATATTAATGCGGTAGCTTTTTTTTTTGCCTTCTGCGGCATAAGAATGGTGTGTAAGACAGGCCAAGATGTACAAAAATGAACAATGTTTCCCAGGGACAGGACACAAGAGTGAATACAGTATGTGCCTTATTACATGATCTCCTCTGTGTGGACTACCTACCATAAACTCTAATCTGGTTGAATGTCTAGTGTGTCCCATGAAGGGATATCGTTTCCTCCTCCAGCAAACTATGAGCAACTCCCCAGCAAGTTCTTTTTGAGTCTTCTTTTGTTGTCTCATTCATACGAGGTTGTAGCCCATTGTTGTCATTTCCTGTATTTGTTTTGAGCTTCTCGGTTGGCGGATTTAAAAAAAAATCTTTTTTGCAGGTTTCAGCTTCACCATTTATCTATCTCTTTGTTGGTCTTCTTATCACCTTTCTCCCAGATCTTCTCTGAAAAAAATCTCCTATGTAGTCTGGTCTGGTTGCATTCTTAATGGCCAAACCAATGTAATTCTTTCTTTGCCAGTATCATTGACATGGTCTTATTCCAACTCTCTCTCTAATGCTGGTATTCATTACCCTTCTTGTGTTATTAGTGACAGTGCATTTCAGGGGTAATTTTCTATTTTAGTGTCCTATTAATCAGCTTGAGATTAAATCTCATAAATTTCAATAGACAAGCAAAAGTCTTCAACACTTTCTACAAACTGCTACTGGTGAAGTCTAAACTAGCAAGCATCTCTGTGATATTTAAGATCTCATGTAATAATTGTCAGATTTCATGTGAAATTATTGAGTGTGAAGAACCAATGATATATCTTTGGTGTGTGGTATGTTAAAAATTTATGTATAAAACTGTTTATATTTCAGATTTTTTATAATACAGGAATACTGTTTGACAAGATGTTGTTTTACAATGTTGTAAAATTTACTGTTATATGAGTTGTAAAACATTCCTGCCTCCGCACAAAACCAATTTGCTGTAGATAGTATGCTACTGTTGAAATAATGTTGTTGTTATTATTATGTACCATCTCTAATATGAAGACTGGCTACAAAGCTCTCATTGCTTTTATTGGGAATATACGTGGTAAGATTCCATTTATGTTGCCAGCATTGTGTTATCAGTGCTTGTCATGGACATTAACAAAAACAAAACAACAGAGATTATGTCTACTGCAAATCCTAAATGTAGCAAGAAAATACAGGATCAGAAATGATGATATGAGGAAAGAAGTTTGGATGAAACCAGTATCAAACTACATCAAGAGACAACAAATGGTTTGGACCTGTATCAAGACTACCACTATACGGTGCACCACAGAGAGCCCTGTAACTTTGACATAATGGAAGCAGAGCCAGAGGTTGACCACGCAAGTGATGGATAGATGGAATATCTGAGGCTATTAGTGTGAGCTCCTATATAGTATATACCAAGGCTCTCTCACGATGCCTCTTTAAAACTTGACTGTGAAAGGCAGCACAGGACTGGAGAAGAAGTAGTAGTAGTAGTAGAAGAAGAAGAAGAGAAAGGAAGAAGAAGGAGGAGGAGAAAAAGAAGAGGCTCATGAAATTGTTAAAGGCATTCAGGGATCTCTCAGCCACCGTTTAGTTAGTTACGTGTCTTTAAAGGACACTGCCAAACGGGAAGGGGGGGGGGGGTGTTGGTGTTTTTACCAAGCAATTATTCATTTAGTAGTTTGCCATTACTCTCTGAATGGTCAGCTCTTGATATCACTGTTGAAACTAATGCAAGGCAGTCTGCTGGCATCAAACCCAGCATTTTGGCATTATGAAGCATGTTCCTAATACCTCTGAGTACAAAAATATTTTATGTGTACCAGTAATTCCCATACATGCTGTCTTCTATGAAATGTTTTCTTTTGATATCAAATGCTGAAGTTATGAATGTTCACTTGTGACATTCACATGCATGTTTTAGTACATCTTTCATTTTTAAATTATTGTCTTTTTTTTGAGCGTTTATTATTTATAATAATAATTATTATTTTAAAATTATTTAAAAAACCATACAAAACATTATTATTTGGTTGTCACATATGTTGCTGAAGTATGTCAAGCTCATGGTTGGTTACTATTTTATCATCTTTTTCACACGGACTTCTAGTAATTCCCCCTGGTCTCTGGGTAATGAGCTCCATGTGCATTGTTGCGCACATAAAAAAAATCCCTTAGAAGAAAGAACGGAACAATTATGGGTTACTACCCATGTGCTATGATGTTGATCTGGTGCTTAAATCTCAAACTTATAATCTTTTTGAACTAAAAACTTCCCAGTTAAGCAGTCATTCATGTTTTTCACCTGGAAAAATTAATAACATGGACTATTCATCTTTAGAAGTAAAATTTAGTATTTAAGTGTTTAGAATGTAAAGTGGCTTTTTAGAATGGCTGTAGCATGAGTGTTTGCATATATTAAATCTGTGTGACCTACTTCTTCTTCTTTATGCCCTCTTTTACCGCTTCGGGTGTCAGGGGAAACATAAGGTCGTGCTTCGTACTCTTCTGGTTGCTTTGACCATAGACACATGGTGGTGCTGTAGAGTTTCTCTGATGTTATCTTCCCATCTTGTTCATGGTCTACATCCCTCTCCTCTTTTCATTTATGCCTTGTATAGTATAGCATCAGAAGGCATTTTCTCCAAGTGAGAAAACCATTCTGCATCCAGCAGGGTTGGGGTCATACTAGAATTAGGAGAGGTGAAAAGTTATCTTGTTTAGCCTGCCGATTCCACAGTACACATAAGTCACCTCTCCTCCCAGTCATGCAGACCGGGAAACTGTGGCCATATTACAAGTGTGCCATATTTTCAACATCTTACTGTCTCTTAATATTGCTACTATTTATGCCAACAAGGCTTCTGTTTGAAATACAACTACTAAACTATAAAGAAACCGATTTTATATTTCACAGAACTAAGAACTATCACCATCATTGATAAATAGGCAGGTTCTTTACAGGCCATAGTTGATGTTTATTACTGTGCCTAGATATTCAATGTCTGTCACATTAGCGCTCACTGGCTGTAAATTCCAGCAAAAAGTTCTGGGTTTTTTTTTTGTCCCCTCCTATATTTGTTTCATAACTTGAGTTTTGTGTGCAGATCCATTTTACAGATCTGGCTTATTTATAAGCAGACTGTTGGTTCCTCACCTTTCAGGCAGATGCACTCCAACTTTGAAGGGAATACTTCTAATTAGTTACCTTCTATGACATGCTTGTTAGGGGAAACAGTGGGTCTATTGCTGTTTAAAACCCACACAGGGAACAAGGGGTTTATAGTGGGATCATATCAAATACACAGGGATCAAGGGGTATATAGTGGGGTAATATCAAATACACAGGGATCAATGTCTGTCATATTAGGGTTAATATCAAATACACAGGGATCTGGTTTTATATAGTGGGGTAATATCAAATACACAGGGATCATAAGGGGTATATAGTGGGGTAGATATCAAATACACAGGGATCAAGGGCTTATTTATAGTGGGATCATATCAAATACACAGGGATCAAGGGGTATATAGTGGGGTAATATCAAATACACAGGGATCAAGGGGTATATAGTGGGGTAATATCAAATACACAGGGATCAAGGGGTATATAGTGGGGTAATATCAAATACACAGGGATCAAGGGGTATATAGTGGGGTAATATCAAATACACAGGGATCAAGGGGTATATAGTGGGGTAATATCAAATATTCTTCCTGAATCATAGTGTTGTAACATTCCAAGTGCCAATTCTGCAGATTTTTCTACAATAATAATAAAAAAAAAAAAAAAAAACAGAGAAGGAAGCTAGAGCATAAAGTTAAAAAGGTGGGGAGGACATGACGAGAGTTGCATGCGATAGCGAAGGATTAAACGACTTGGATTTAGTTTGGTCTATGCTCCACTGGAGATTAGAAAGGCAGAAAAAGAATCAAATATTCTAACTAAATTCTTATTCCAACATATTATCATGAAGCATCTGCCAACAGACGTGGGTGATCATGTGTCTCCAGATGCCCCCCATCCACGTGTGTGTTCTGTGGCCCCATTGGGGGGAGGGTAGGAAAGATCAGCTTTGCTTTAAAATTGGAAATATTCGGCCAAAAGCTGCCTAGCTGTAAACCACAACAGAACATGCCAACCGCCCTTTTAAAGGCAAAAACAGAAGCTGCAGAAAAAGAATAGCAGTGCTTATTTTCCCATGCTTTTATGAAAATCTGTCCCAAATCTGGTCTTGCAGAAAACCTCCCAAACAGTCCACGGCAGTACTGACACGAATTATAAAACATTCCAGGATTTACTAAGGCACCTAAGCAAACATCATTGTTGAAGTGGAGAATGCATGCAAATATTTATTAGGATGAAATCACGTGTAAGAATCAGCCATATAATTACAAGACGTATATTTACATAAACACAGTGGGAACCTGATAGCCAAGTCACATGATGATGATGCTGAGCTAATTATCTTCCCATGCCTGGATTGTAGCAGACAGCAGTGACCACGACCTCTAAACCCTCTCTGTTGCATGCTAGTTACATGGGGATTTTTTTCTGGCTGTGCACATTACTAGCACCTCACCTTTGGGCATCATTTTGTCAGTGCATCTGTAACGGACATTGTGTGGTAGGTACCAGCACTTCTCAGAAACTTTGTGGTGACTACAGGTATCTTATCTTCTATAGAACAAAATCCCTTTTTTTTTTACAATGTGGTTAGTTCGACAGCAGTCTCCCCAAATAGAGTAGATCACTTTTCATTCACAAGTTTGTTTCGCTGGTTGACTTTCCCTAAGGTTAAGGGTGCGTCCAGATCTGTTGTTTGGTTTCTCCAATGTCTTACATTTACGTTTTCATTCCGAGAAAGAGAATGCCTGTGACAAAGGTTGCAGCACTCTCTAGGGGGATTGTGTTATAAAATTTTTCCTTGTCTAGTTATTTTAGTGCTCCGTTTATATTTTTCCCAACTTCTGCTTCTGAGTATTTTGCAGTTTTAACAAAACTTATGTACAAGTGACGAGAAAGAAACCCTATGGAACACCAACTGAGGTAACCGTTTTTTTAATATGCCCAGAATTTTCACATTTCTTTGTTCTGCATCATTCTGGCCCATATATGCCCAACAATTCCATTTAACCCTTAGTTCTAGTTTTGAAAAGTGATCCAGGATAAAATCTATGCAGCTGCCAATAGCCCAGCAAGCCATATGCCTCGCGCTCTGAAGGTTGTGGGCTCGTTTCACAGCAGCACTGTTCAGTTCACGAGTACAATTTTTACTCTAGGGATCGTCGCCGGAGCTACGGAGGTCGCGCTCTGTGCGACGCTCTTGGCAGGCAGCTTGCTGTTCTGTGGAAAGAGACTGAGCCATGTGGGGATAAAATGGGTGCAATATGGTCGATTCCCTCACCTTTATCTTAAAAATAAAGAGTTTGTACTGTTCTCTATCCACATTTTCAACATTCCTCATCGACTGACACCCCCCACTCTCCATATTTTCTGAATGAGCTTACAGATTCTTACAAAGTACAAATCCAAAATATAACACTGCAGAGCCCACAGTTCAGCATACACATGAACATTACCAAAGTTGTAACTTCTCATGTACTTCAGTCCCTTTGTAGGTACAAGCAAATTACATTTACGACAAAAGTAAAATATACAAATGCATTGTTAGTAACACTGTTACATCTAAAGCTTTTTCGGAAACCCACATCCAATTTTTCCTATTAAAAAACTTATTTTCACATCAAATTTTCCCTTTTTTTTTAAAAAAAACCAGTGGAAGAGATTCCAGTTTTAACAGTTTTTTTTTTACCTCCAAGTACGAAGATGTATCCTTATAAATAATGAAAAAGAATACTGATAGAAGTATCAATATAATAATAAGCTGTACATAATATATCCCAACATGCAGCTCTATCGTTAGAAACGAGAACTAAAAGTGGTACAACTCAGGAAAGTCGCCCTATTTCGTCGCCTGCGAGATTTCATAGGGGATTTCCCGGGGCACTCACTTAGTCTGGAGGTGTCAGGTGTTCCTAGTTTTGAGCACATCCTTCACTGTTGACAGACTTCAGTGCCTGAGACCTACTTACAATAAACATTCAAGAAACAACAGTCGTTCACAGAAAAGAGAGCTGCGAAAAGAAAGCTTCGCACTTTCGCCTGGTGAGTCCACCGCGTCTTTTCGGCATTCTGTGTATAAATGGCGAAGGAAGACATCTCATAACACCCCTAGAACATACAACAGCCCGTGGGAATCGCTATAAAATCTCGTGGCTGATGAGATGGGGTGACATCCCTGAGTAGTACCATTCAACCATTTGTATCCTTCCATCTGTGAGAGCTGCTTAGTTTCAACAGAACAAAACAAAAATTAGAAAAGAGAGTAAGCCCATCCACAACAGAATATTTGATTGTCATGTGGGATCCTGTCTGGTGCTAGGGAGTTCATCCGCTGTGATCGCCTCAGTGTAGCATGACAAGAAGATATGAGGACATTGCTGGATAGCTTGAAATGAGATAAAGAAAGAGGCTTTAAGAAAGAAATCAACCAATGTATGAACCACATGTCAACTTTCTATATCACAAAGTTTTCTTAAACTAGTAGGGTCTATATGGAAACTGTAGCGAATCTCTTGTGATTCTTGAATAGTAAAACTGTAGCAAATCTTTGTGATTCCATGAAACTGCACCAGACACTGTCCCAACTGCTGATCGAGCTACGACAGAGTTTCACCTTTCGTAATCTGAGGACAATAAAATCAGCACAATGTGTTACAGGTGGTAGAGACAAATAAAAACATTAATAGTTGAGGTGTCCAGTGGGAAACATATACGTATCATTTGCAGGTGTATATGGTGCACACACACACACACAAAACACAGACAAATGACATGGAGTGGGTGGCAAGAAGCCAAAAAAAGTGAGTGAATTCAGGTGAGCAGATACATAACATTCAGCGACTTCAAACATACAACATTGATGTGTATAAGATAATGAAGGCTTAGATACATGGTGTGCTGTGTTGCGTTTAACACATGAGGTCGTGCTGGGGGTTGACAATGAACAAGTGAAGCATGACTGATGAACAAGTGAAGCATGACTGTGTTTCGGCAAAATGTGACACAACTGTGTATTTTATTGATCAGAGTTAATTAGACAGAACTACAAACAGCAATATCTGGGAACTAATGACAGTAAAATCTGTAACTAATGACAGGAGACTACAAACAGCAACATCTGGGAACTAATGACAGTAAAATCTGTGAACTAATGACAGGAGACTACAAATAGCAACGTCTGGGAACTAATGACAGTAAAATCTGTGAACTAATGACAGGAGACTACATACAGCAACGTCTGGGAACTAATGACAGTAAAATCTGGGAACTAACGATAAGAGACTACAAACAGCAACACCTGGGAATTACTTCTCAGTGAGCTGACAAAATGGAAGTAGTCTACATGACAGGAGATCAACATTTAGGAGCAATAAGTAGGAAGAATTAATGCAACAGCATAATAACAGAATTAAAAACTGTAGAAACGACAAATGCAATAGGGAAGAATTTAAATCCAACTAAGAGGAAGACTTACTAATCTTTAAAATAAAATAAAAAAATTAAGTGAAGATTATTTGCAAATGCTGAACTAGCCAAACTAGTTCACGATTAATTAAGTCACAGTATCATTAAAAATACATATGTGCATATTTCTATTTTGGAAGTCATATTTTTTTTCTCTTTAATTAACAGTAAAATCTGGGCACTACTTGTACAATGAAGACAAGGACAGTTGAATAAATTGAATCTATATAAAGCTACAATTGTTTAAAAAGTGATAAAGAGTCAAGCTGTCTTTTAAAACTGTGTTTACATATTAGAAAAAAAAAAGAAAAAAAACAGGACAGAGAGAGGGAGAGAAAGAGAGAAACTCATAGCTACTGACAGAAACATAATTCAAACATTACAAAGGTTTTAATAGGCAAAACTTATAAAACCACACACAAGTTACCTTAGGGTTCCACCTTATAAAATGAAAGTTTTTTTTTTCACCTGGCTCATTTATAGTTTTTAGGAGCACAGGCTTTTCTGTTAACTAATAAAAACCCGCCATCAAATAACACTACATGTTTCTAATTTTCTTGGGTGATATGGTGCAAGAACATATAAATAACAGCAAAGAACTACAGATACAATAAAACATAAGACACAGTCAAGACAAGACCAAATGCAGCACACGCAAAACACCCATGTCAATTAGTTTTGTTAGTGATCACTGCTGCACACTTGTGTTAAAGCAATCACAGAGATGAGACCAGTAAAATCATGCACAAGTATATATTAAAAACGAAATGGAGGACATCTGTGAGGTAACGTCCAAGTGAGTGTGTGTGTGTTTTATATTTATGTTTAGTCGACAGATTAACATCAAGGCACATAAGCGCTCCGTTCTACTTTTAACTCAAGCCTGAGTCTGAAGAATCTCAGCGCAGTGCAAGAACTCTGTAGCACGGGCGAGGATCCTGAAATACTTTGCGTAGATTTTTAACTCACAATTTTGCCTGGTCAGCTCCGTTAGGCTACTCTTTTTTATTTCCAACTGCCAAGGGAATTTTTTTACGTGCACAAGATTACTCATGGGCGTCTAATCTTACTACCCAGAGACCTGGGGAAATTACTAAAAGTCCACGTGAGAAAATCTCAGCCCTCACCGAGGCGTGAACCTGGGACCTCCAGCACCCGAGGCAGACACCATACCTCGAGACAACTCAGCCCCTCCCAACACCCCAGTGTGTCTGTTGTCAGCATGCATGTGTGTGTGTGTGTGTTTGTCAGCAACAAACATAATGCTAGGAAACAGAAACGTCTACAGGTACATTAGTGGTTCATTGTCACTTTGTCCTTTTTACTAAATGTTCAGAATCACTACACTTCAAACCGGGAGCTAGTGGCCAGGGGATCTGGCTGAAGCTCAACACTCAAGTAGAAAAGCCAGACACATATTCAATCAGACTGTTACCATCAGAACTGGAATGTGTCACTTGCTGCTGAAAATGAGGATGGGGTGCTAATAGGAGTGTCCAGAGCGCTGTGATGTCAGTTCTTACTTCAAAATTCAATATTTGGGAAAGGGAGGGAGGGTCTGTTTAAATTATGAAAAGTGTAAGCACTCTCATAGCGGAGAGTGGTGTGGAGGCAACTTACAATGTCATTTCTGTAAAAACAAACTCGTAACAAGGGAATGACAAAATGCTCAGAGTGACATGCTTGTGTCCGTAGGAGAGAGACATTTCTGCAGGCAAGATTAAGATGCATCTTTAACAAGCTTTCACATTCCAGAAAAACAATAAATCATAAATATCTTGACCACAGCTGCAAACACATCAAATGAAACATCAGGTTATACTCTTAGCTGTTTGCAGGTTGTCTTCAAACTAGCTCCAGAAATTTATAGGAATCTATAGATGAAGTGCCTTGAGTGTGAAAGTTCATGAGGTGGGAGAACTGGCAAGAGACTGAGTTTCTTACAGGACAATGCTAAATGATCCTTACACAGTGTTGACTTCTAAGGTCAACATGTAGGTGTGATGAGTGAAGACATAGTTGTCAGATCCATTTACAGTTTCCGGTGCTGACTTGTGGGTACAGAGTCAATGTGACAAGTGAGGACAATGTTGCCTGATCCACACACACAGTGCAGATTTGTGGGTATAGAGTCAATGTGAGAACATTGACTTGCCAGGTTTTTCAACATTTCCCATTAATTAACATCCAAAATTCTGACTGTTGAATGTGTCCTAAAAACAGTTAGTGCAATAGTATCCACACAGGCACATATAGTTACCATACACAAATTAAAACAACAGCCAAGGAAGTACTAGCTGAAGCCACCTCCCATCTGGAAGCCAACAAATACCATGTCAGCAAACACACACACTACCCACAAGTAATACCGACCAGGCAGGGAGCAACCAATTAACGTGGGGCCCAACAACGGCAGTAGGTGACCACCTGAGTAAAACAGCTACAACAGAATCAAATCAAACTGGCTAACAATGCAACAGAGCGAGCCAAGTGTTAGATTCAGAGAACGTGCCAAGAGTGTCTAAGAAGAAAGCAAAACACTCAAATATTTCCATAGAATTACCCCTGTGGAAAAATAGTGGTAGCTGAGGCTGCATTTTTTGCATCAAACAAAGTTTTCAGAACCTAGTTCTATCTCATTTTCCTCCACCTCATTCTGCTCAGGTGTCTCAGTATTCACAATCTGTAGATACAGGAAGCACATAGTGGTGATAATGTGTGAAATGAACATGTATACTCGGGCAGTCAACAACAATGGAAGCTAGCAGATTGTTTCTGTGAACATATTAAGGATATTCGTAATACAGCTCTTAAACTAGCCTCTTCCTTAATCAGTCTCTTCCATTTTAATAGTTGTGACCACCAAGGTAAAAGCGATATCTCAGTCGCTGCTATAAAATCTTGCTCCGGCGATCAAACCAGTTACTACTTAGAAAAATGTTTCATTTAGTTTGGCATTTTCGGTCCTGAGGGAATTAATTTTTAATTTGTACCTATCGACCTTTTTTAGATTTCTTTATCCCCCTCTTTTTTAAAAAGCCTTCTTACTTATTTTATTTAATATAATAGCTCTTTACGTCCATATTTTACACATTTCTTGGTGTCATTTTGCCCTTGATTATTCAGAAGCTCTGCTGTCTGGTCCTTAAGCTTTTAAATCAGTCTGTGCAGCACACTGCAGGCCGCTTAAGGTAATCTCAGATATGGCAAATTTATGTTGTGAAGAACAATTTGTTTATCCCTGACAATTTTTCTTGCTATAACTCTTATAAGGATAAGGGAATTTCTGATAAGAAGGACTTTTCGTTGATTCCTGGTGATGATTAGGTCTGCACTGTATTTGGCCCATCAGCAATCAATGGCATACAGACATCATAAAACTTTACTAAACTAATAACCAGTGTATTCTGTGCTGTAGGCTAAATAGACTGCGGCTGGCACAATGTGACAATACATACAGAAAAAAGCAATGTTAAACAAGAATAATAAGGAACTCATGGACAATTTCTGCATCGGAAACCATCAGTGAAGCAAATTATTAAAGTGCTGTACCAGGATGACCTCAAAGGAAACCAACACACATCGAAAAGCTTCAGATGTAAACCAGAAAGAATAAACAGGAATTAAATCTGAAAATGATTAAAGAAAAACAAAAGAATGTGAATATTTGTCCTCTCTTTCACGTGAAGAAAATACTTACCCTTGCTTCGATATATTCCACTCGTCTTTCTAGTTCTGTGAGTTTCTGGTTCAAAACTGCAAGGCGGGACCGACAGGACATATCTGAAAAATGTATCCGCACATAACTGATGAGTATCTGGGTAAAACACATGACATTGCAAGGCACACACATACACAATGTTTCAACCTCTCATGATGATTCACACCAGGTCTAACAGTGGCACCTGGCAAGCTATTTTAACACTGCAAATTGGAAAACTATGTAAACACCCCCCCCCCCCCCCAATTAATAGTTCTGACTACAAGGCAAAAGCCAAATCTCAGCTGCTGCTATAAAATCTTGCTTCAGTTATCAAACAGGCCACCACTTTGAAAAATGTTTCTGCCTGTCCTTTACAGAATATTGCAGAGCCATCCCTGCCTATTGAGGGGGGGGGGGGGGGGGGGGGGGGGGCTGATGATATCACCAGGCAATTTGTATGTTCAGTAGTCTGTTTTTTTCTTTATGAGCAGTTGGCTCTTGATGCCACTGTCAAACAAACTGTACCGGCAGTTAACACTGAGCACTCTCATAATGACAGGTCTTAACTTATTCAATGGTGCCGGCGTGGTTGGTAATGAACGTACAGACAGACTGGCTGGATCTGCATCACTGGGGGGTGAATTGATACATGACAAGGCAGATGATAGAAGATTATTATGGCCTGGAGAGAATGAGGCATCTGGGTGTAACCAGAGGGTCTGGCCAGCTCACTACACACACAGGAAAGGCAAGATGGACATATAACCAGATTGTGACCAGTACCATCAGTATTGATGTTCTGCCCTATCTGCTAAAAATGAGGATGGAACATGCATGGGAAAGCCCCGAGAGCTGTGATATCAATTCTTGACTCAACTCATTTAGTGTATGTAACAAATAGTCTCACGTGTGTGTGTAAATCTTTGGCTATTTCAATATCTGGCAGTGACCTCAAAATTTAATTATTATTATTTATAACATAGCCACCATGGTGTAGCGACTAGATGCTCACATGCAGATCCAAAGGTCATAGGTCCAAATTTGCATCAAACCAGATTTATTTCTTTAAACAAAAATCTTGGCTCCCAGCTTTAACTGAGTACCAGGTAAAGTTCTCGGAAGTAAAGGCGGTCGGCATGATGTTGACCACATCACTAACAGAAGAGTACTTAATATTCATAAGTTATTATTATAACAAGTTTAAACACCAGTGTCTGAGTGACAGGCAGTCACCAAGCCCTGATTGGCTTTCCTCCGAATAACGGTCCCAAATTATCCAGGCTGAAAATATACCCTAACAGAGCCTCAGTCACATGGAGGATTTGAGGGGCAAACACAACATAAGTGGGCGTGTCAAAAACATGTAAGTTAATACTGGCATGTCGATATGATTCATGTTATGAATATAATATCTACTACTCTCCACATCTATATTATTATAAGTGACAGTCTTCTTCTTCTTCGATCCTTCTGTCAGAAAACTTATATCAGGAGGCCGGTAGCCTTTATGAAAGCTATCGTGCAATCCATATCCTCTCGTGTACCATACAGTTTTGTCTTCATTGTGGTTGGAACAGGCCAGATTGCGTCTCTGTTGTCAGCATACAGTTGACAGTGTTGGAGCACATGCTCAGCATTTTCGGGTGCCACGCTGCAGGGACACGTCTCCGTGTTTCCTACACCGAAAAATTTGAACATATGTTGACGAAATCTGTTGTGCCCTGTCCTTAGTCTGAATATAATAGACTGTCCCTCTCTAGAGAGGCGATGAAGTGAGTCTTGGGGAGAAAATCTGTTGTGGGTATCCAGCCACCTTTCTTGGATACTAGATTGTATTAGTGTTTTCATCTCTTGGTGGGTTAAGTCGCTATTTGGTTGTACCATGTCACTGCCGCTTCTGGCCAATCTGTCCGCTATTTCATTGCCTTCCAAGCCACAGTGACCTGGAATCCACTGCAGTACAGATTGTTCTACTGAAGAGCCTAAGTAAATCAGCTGTTGCGTCAAGTCTACAAACTGAGTGTCTTTTGGGTTAACAATTGCTTGTAGAACTGACATAGCATCAGTCAGAAAGACCACTCTGCTATATTTGCTGTGCTGTTGTCCATTCAGGAAAGAACATGCGGCTAGAAGTGCTTCTGCCTCTGCTCTGTAATTGGAGGAATATGAACCTGTTGGTACAGCCTGGTTGATTTTAAAACCATTTGGGCATTCTATGTATATTCCTCCTCTTCCGTCTCTTACTGCTCTCTTGGCTGAACCATCTGTATACACTCGAATCCAACTCTGGTGTGGGTAAAGTCTATTGATCTCTCGTTCTGTAGTTGATTTCATATCAGTGCTGCTCATTGATGATTTGGAGGAGACCCCTGTTACAGTGGTTCTGACTGTTGGTAGGCTATCCCTAAGCCAAGCGGGGCAGTTGTTGTAAGGTTTAAGTGGAACATTCGGTATTATGGGAGGGAGTTTAAGGACAGCGAGCTTGGCATTTGCGTTCTTAATAAAGCAAGTTCTCTTTAGTCTAGCCTTCTGGGGTTTCTGCAGTCGGCTGTACATGGGTTGTTCTTGAAAGTGGTGGTATTTGGAGAGCTGGGTGAGGATCTTTGTATCTCTCCTATCTTCCAGATTATGGAGACCAGTAATTGTTTCCATATCTGATATGGGCGTGGAGCGCATTGCCCCTGTCATAATACGGAGAGCATGGTTTTGGATCTTTGAGACTTTCTGAAAATTTGATTTAGCTGCTGTGCCCCAAGCAGCTATTCCATATTCTAGTGTTGGCCTCACATAGCCTGTATAGGTCCTCTTAAGGACATTGAGGTTTGCCCCCCAGTCTGTTCCAGCTAACTTCCTCATCAGTTGTGTTCTCTTGAGTCCCTTGCTCTGTGTCTTTTCTATCTGTTTTCTCCATGTGAGTCTTGAGTCAAAGGTTACTCCTAAATATGATGGTGAGTCATCATGTATCAGTGCCTGGCTGCCATATATATGTGAAACTTTCTGGGATTTGGTAGAGAGACTGAAAATGGTGTGTGTGGTTTTGGCCCCATTTACAGGCATGTACCAGCTATTGGACCACCTCTCTAGAGTTCCGAGGGGTTCTTGAAGCCTTGTCTGTGCTTTTTCAGTGTCCTCCTCTGAACTCAGTAGCGCCAGATCATCGGCATACATAACGGCTTGAACTCCATTACAGAGGGTTGATTTTATGTCGTTAATGTAAACTAGGAAAATAATTGGGGACAGAACTCCGCCTTGTGGAACTCCATGTGTCATTGAGACTGATCTGCTCCTTGAACCCTGTATCTTGACTCTTGCAGATAGATTTTCAAGATACTCTTTCAGTCCCAAAGAACACATCATACGTTCCTACCTAAAAGCCTAATGAAGGCAAGATGTGCAGATTTTATGTCTCTCTTGACCATCCCTTGGGCTTCTGACGCTAAAACCCCTGGGACTGAAAGAGTTAATGAGGTACAGCAGCTGGTGTAAATTAAAATTCAGACACTTGGCAGATTTAGTTTTTTCTATAATTTGGATGCAAATTAGAGAAATTTCCCTAAACTGGATGTATAAACATATTGAACTACACTACAGGTTACTAACTTACTTCAGAAATAACTATATTTCTCACTTGGGGTTTTAAGGGTTTAGTACGTTTGATACTCACAAAATGATTTGGCACCATAATCACAGTTAAAACATACCAGCAGAAACAATAAATGGCACTCACTGCAACAGCGACCAATAGAGGGACACTTCAATGGTTGTCTACAGCGACCACAAGGGAGAAAATCCATTGTGTACATTCATATAATAATAATGTTATTTAATATATTGCTTCACGTTAGGGCTTGGGTTAGGGTTAGCCAAAATAATAGTAGATATGAAAGAATAGTATTATTAATAATTATTATCATATTATTTTTAGGTGAACTTAAACTAGCGACTACGGTGTTAGGAAATTTGCGATCTTTTGGCAATTTCCGTTACCATGGAAACAGTTCGAAACTTGTTTCGGAAATGTCGGCTGGGGTTTCGGGATGGGTCCTAATCTCTCATGAAATTTTGCGATTGGTGTGATTTTCACCAGCTATAAATAGCTGAAAACGGCGGGAACGAACCTGATTAACAGCGCATGTCTACGACAGCCGGACGTCCTCTGTTTTTCTGTTACATCAGTTTGATTGAAAATAGCGATAAGTTTTTCAAGGTTGGCTTTAGGCTTAACTGTTACTCGTCCTGGTAATGCTAGTTATAATTGAATTCTCCGTCCAATTTTACATTTGTGTATAAAATTTCTTTCTGAACAGTGGCTAGGTAGATGTACAGTGACATTTTACAGGCAATCGCTGGCTCAGCCAGTGGCTGTGTCTCATTGTCTGCCATCTTGTCCAATGACAGTCCAATGTAAAGAAAGCCAGAACAGAAGTGCGCAGTTTGGTTGGGTAGAGAAAACTTCTTGTTTCTGGGACGCAAGTTTTAGCGGCTGTTTTTTTACATCTCATCTCCACAAAAACCTACATATCTCAGCTCAGAAATGACATACAAGCCTAAATGAGGTACCGTTGGAAAGAGATTGTTTACAGCTATCTAACTGTGCTGGTTTTATTGGTGTAGAGGCCATTTTAAAAATTTGACTAAAGTATCTACTTAAACAAACACTGGATTACGAATTATCTTTATAGCGACTACGGTGTCCAGAAATTTGCGATCTTTTGGCAATTTCCGTTACCACGGAAACCGTTCGAAACTTGCTTCGGAAATGTCGGCTGGGATTTTGGGATGGGTCCTAATCTCTCATGAAATTTTGCGATTGGTGTGATTTTCACCCACTCTAAATAGCTTAAAACAGCGGGAAGGAACCCGATTAACAGCGCATGTCTACGACAGCCGGACGTCTTCTGTTTTTCTGTTACATCAGTTTGATTGAAAATAGCGCTAAGTATTCAAGGTTGGCTTTAGGCTTTAACTGTTACTGGTCTATCATCATCCTACGGTTGCGTGTAGGGCTGCGTAGGGTTAGGGGTTAGGGTTAGATGTTAAAATTTGGTCGAAATAGTGGCCGACAATCTGATGCTTGTGGGAGTGGCGCCACTAAAATTCTGCCAAATATGACGCCAATAGCGGGCGGCTGGTGCCCAATCAGTGGTGAATTGTCCGTGTCCGTAGCATCCACCATCCGTCGCCTGTTTGAGTGTGTATGTGACTGTGCGCGATTATAGGGAACTACGGCGTCAAAATTGTCACATCTAACGCTAAACCTAAACCTAACCGTAACCCTCACCCTACCCCTCGCAACCCCTAACCCTAACCACGCAAATGAATCGGTAATTAAAGCATACAGATCGGCAAAACACACACACACACACAAAACCTAGATATCCCGGATCCCCGCAGCGTCAAAAAAAAAAAAAAAAAACAGATCTGGGGGACACACCCAAGCATTGGCAGCCCTGATATCGACCTCACTGTCTTGTTTGATTCGTGACTCTTTCCGCTACTTGTTTTGAGTGCGGCCAAGGGAGAGAGCTTCCACTAAGTCTAAGGCGACCGAAGCCGTCCAGCTTGCGTCCAAATCTAGGGACTACAGTTTCGACAATTTGCGGTCTTTTCGGCAAGTTCCGTTACCCGGAAACCGTTCAGAACTTGTTCGGGAAATCTCGGCTGGTTTCCGTATGGGTCCAAATCTCTCATGAAATTTTGCCATTGGTGGGAATTTGGACCAGCTATAAATAGCTGAAAACAGCGTGGGGGAACCCGATTAACAGCGCATGTCTACGACAGCCGGACTCCTCTGTTTTTCTGTTAGTCATCAGTTTGATTAAAAAATAGCGGTAAATTCGAGGTTGGCTTTAGGCCTTAAACATTACCAGTTGTGGTAATGCTAGTTACAGTTGAATTCTCCGTCCAATTTTACATTTGCATATTAAATTTTTTTTACCGACTCTGGCTGTTTAGATTTACAGTGACGTTTTTTAGGCAATCGCATGCGGCTGAGTGAGCTGATTCTTACTGCCTGCCATCTTGTCCAATGACAGTCCAATGTCAACAAAGCCGATACAGAACTGCGCAGTAGGTTGCGCAGTCAAAAAACTTCTTGTTTCTGGGTCACAAGTTTTAGCGGCTGTTTCTTACATCTCATCTCCACAAAAACCTACATATCTCAGCTCAGAAATGACATACAAGCCTAAATGAGGTACCATTGGAAAGAGATTGTTTACAGCTATCTAACTGTGCTGGTTTTATTGGTGTAGAGGGCATTTTAAAAATTTGACTGAAGTACCTACCTAAAAACCCTACCTACGGGCATAGCTTGCAGTTCCACTTAGACGATAAACAAAAACACTACGGAATCTCCTAGCTGAAATACGCACCAAATGAATTAAGAAAATCTGTTATCTTCTTTATGCTTCCTGTAATAACTTCCACATATTCCCGATTGGCCCAGTCTTGTTGGAGAGGTCTCTGATGAGCTTGTTGGTGACTCGCCATCTTGATTAATGGCTGCTTCTTGTTTAGGTCTAGGGAGCATTTGGAGAATGAGTATACATTTTTTCTTAAATTACGAACTTTCTAAGGCAATAACTTTACTAAATATTTAAGTAATATAAATGCTTTATTAAATTTACTCATTTTAACTGATTGATACTTCCAGTTACTTTTGTAAAGCACAGCCAGCCTGTAGATGTGGAATTTTTCAAGGACGGCTCCCAATAAAGCAGAAGTGGGTCTCCGGGACAACTTCCGCCGGCGAACGCTGCGACATCGACCAGCCCGAGATACAAACCCACGGTTCTCGCAACTCACAGCTCAACCTAGCCAGCAACTGACACAGCTCAGGCAGCTGCATTTTTAGATATAACCCCTACAAAAAATGGCTTCAGCGCTGGAAAGCTATGTCAACAGTATCCTTCTTTATTGTGTTTTTTTTTTAATAACTGCAGCTTGTCTTGTGTTCTCCCTGTAAAATTAGACGTTTAAAATTTGAATACAACCCTGAATACTCATACAAACTGTACTGTGTTGACGGTTTGGATGTTTTGTAAAAATTGATTGATTTATATGTTGAGTGTGTCTCTAACTGTATTGACTATTATAAATCTCACAATAAAAATATCAATTTATTTAAACAATCATGAAATTGCCTCATCCAGTTTTTAGGTACTTTAGTCAAATTTTTAAAATGCCCTCAACACCAATAAAACGAGCACAGTTAGATAGCTGTAAGCAATCTCTTTCCAACGGTACCTCATTTAGGCTTGTATGTCATTTCTGAGCTGAGATATGTAGGTTTTTGTGGAGATGAGATGTAAAAAACAGCTGCTAAAACTTGTGTCTGAGAAACAAAAAGTTTTCTCTGTGCAACCAAACTGCGCAACTTTCGTTTTGGCTTTGTTTTCATTGGACAAGATGGCAGACAATTTTCCTCAGACACAGCCACATATTAGCTATTGCCTGAAAAATGTCACTGTACATCTAAACAGCCACAGACAAGAAAGAAATTGTATACACAAATGTAAAATTGGACGGAGAATTCAATTATAACTAGCATTACCATGTCTGGTAATGTTTAAGGCCTAAAGCCAACTTTGAATACTTACGCTATTTTCAATCAAACTGAAGTAACAGAAAAACAGAGGACGTCCGGCTGTCGTAGACATGCACTGTTAATTGGATCCGTTCCCGCCGTTTTCAGCTGCTTATAAAAAATCACACCAATCGCAAAATTTAATGAGAGATTAGGACCCATCCAGAAACCCCAGCCGACATTTCCCAAACAAGTTTCGAATGGTTTCCATGGTAACGGAAATTGCCAAAAAGACCGCAAATTGTCGAAACTGTAGTCGTTATAGTTTTGAAAGTTCCAGATTCATTGGTTGGGTCTGGCTGTAGTGTTAACATGTAGTAAGCTAATACTGCTGGAGCCATATCATATCCATTATCTAATTTGGAATTCAAACTTCTCATCTCTTTTGCTGCTTAGAGACTGAGTGGAGCGCGAATGCAGTGCTATCTGTTCTTAAAATATCTAGTTGTGAACTAGTAACTAACAACCCTAGGGAATGTAATCCAGGCTATCTTCCGAATAACCGTCCCAAAATTATCGAGGCAGAAAATATACCCTAACAGGGCCTCGCTTACATGTCAGTTGTGCACTTCCAGGGACTATACTGCCACTGCCAAATTGCGAACTTCCGGGGACTATATCGCCGAGAGTATCGCTCAGGTGGCGTGGATTGGGGCTAAACTAGATGGCTAGGACTCACGAGCAAATAAAATGGAGGCAGCTGCAGGAAATATGGTAGCTGCTGCTCGTGAGTCCCAGCCATCTAGTTTAGCCCCAATCCACATGGCATGGGGGATACTCTCAGCAGTGGCGGAAGTCGCCAGAAGTGCACAATTTAAGTTGCCGGAAGTGTGCTATTGACACGTGACTGAGACCCTGTTAGGGTATATTTTCTGCTTCGATAATTTGGGACTGTTATTCGGAAGATAGCCGTAATCCGTTGTTTGTGTAAGTTCACATAATTATGATATATTTAAATTAAATATATCATAATTTAAATTTTAATGTTGTTAAGAGTTAGAGCTACGCCAAACGCTATTCCTAACCTTAACGTGAAGCAATATTAAATATTACAGAACATTATTATGTGAATATACAAAGACTGGATTTTGTCCCTTATGATTACTGTAAACAAACGATAGATTGCAGTGATTGCATCCCCTATTTTTGCTATATATATATTAGTTAGTTAGTTAGTTAGTTAGTTAGTTGGGTTATCGTCATTGCACTCCGGACATGTCCATAGGTGCTCAGATCCTCCCCTCAGTATGAACCCCAACGTCCGATGGCTAATAGTACCAGTTCTATGTTGATTAACAAGTCTTCTGACGTGTCCGGTGTGCGTCTCGTTTTTTCCTGTGCCGATCTTAATTCCCAAGTCTGCCATTCTGGCGAGTGATGTGGATTCACTGCCACCAAAGTTCTCTATCCTTCCCATTTCTCTGAGGGCATTGATAATATCAGCGTGATCCATAGGCCTATAAATATATATATATATATATAACATGAGGCATAAAGTAATTTTATTGTTGCTCTGTAATATATTGAACTTCCTAGCACACAAATATGGCTGCTGTAGACTGAAATTATGAGGTAGAATCAGTAAGCACTGGCAGGGAATAGAGGAATGGAAGCAATTAAGAAATATTCTTAGAAAACTGAAGCATACTGTTACACAGTTGCATATGAAAGTAAAGAGGTAAAATAGCTAACTGCAAATAAAAAGCATATTCCTCTAATTGTATATTTGTCTGCCACATTGATGATTTGTATTGCCAGAGTAAATCAAAGTGTTTGTCTGCCACATTGGATGATTTGTATTTTCAGAGTAAATCAAAGTGTTTGTCTGCCACATTGGATGATTTGTATTGTCAGAGTAAATCAAAGTGTTTGTCTGCCACATTTGATGATTTTATTGCCACAGTAAATCAAAGTGTTTGTCTGCCACATTTGATGATTTGTATTGTCAGAGTAAATCAAAGTGTTTGTCTGCCACATTTGATGATTTTATTGCCAGAGTAAATCAAAGTGTTTGTCTGCCACATTTGATGATTTGTATTGTCAGAGTAAATCAAAGTGTGTATCTGCCACATTTGATGATTTTATTGCCAGAGTAAATCAAAGTGTTTGTCTGCCACATTTGATGATTTGTATTGCCAGAGTAAATTAAAATGTTTGTCTGCCACATTTGATGATTTGTATTGTCAGAGTAAATCAAAGTGTTTGTCTGCCACATTTGATGATTTGTATTGTCAGAGTAAATCAAAGTGTTCGTCTGCCACATTTGATGATTTGTATTGTCAGAGTAAATCAAAATGTGTATCTGCCACATGCAGGTAGTGGAACAAACTTCCAGATAATCAGTTCCTTAACAGTTTCTTAGAATTGGTGGAGATTGTCACAGCTGATGGTCGAGTCATTGTGGTAAGTGTCATTACTGTCTTGTTGATCTTTTTGAAAGCTGTCATTACAGTCAGGTCTTAAGAAGGAAAATGCTGTGATTACAGTGTTTTTTTTCGGTTAAAAGTGTAAAATCCCATAAGTTTGAATCTGCATCCCGATGTTTGAGTAGCTAATATATTACCCATTTCTGCATAACAATATTAAACGCAGTTAATTAGGTATTCACAGTTCAAGCTTCACAGTAAATAGGTCACCCTATTGTTGGCCTGTGCCAGTGAACATTACGCAGAATGTCTATTGCTGAACTTTGAACAAAATATTGAAGCAGATTGCGGCCTCAGTACCGCCAATAGTGTACACATTAATTGCATTAAAAGTCTACGGTTTAGCACCAGCAAGGAAATCAAAATTTTAAGAGCATGCATCTTCCCTGTAGCAACATATGGATGTGAGTCATGGACCATCTCCCAATCCTTAAGAAAGAAAATAGGGTCTTTTGAGATGAAATGCTATAGAAACATTCTTAAAATATCATGGACAAGTGACACTGATATTGTAAAAGATCTGAACATCAAGGAAGATTGGCTAATAAACAGCATCTTGTCTCAGAAGCTGAAATATTTTGGTCATATCAAGGGCCACGATGGAGTGGAAAAATAATTGCAGGAAGGAGGGGCAAGGACTGATCAACATGAAGATGGGCACTAGATATTAGTGACTCCTTGAATATGAAAGTACACAAGGCGGCAGAGCTGGCGAAAGACTGAGTTTCTTTCAGGCAGACCGTGATGAGAGCGACATTCTGCAAAGGACCTTCTACATAATGATAATACACATGAATTAACAGCATAAGGCAACCTTCAAAAGTGCCAACAAACATTCCAAAGTTCACTGTCTGTGGAAACAGCAGTTACAACAAATCACATAGTATCACATAAAGCACCACCAGGTAACACAAAAGTTGCTCAACAGCATTAGAAAAATACTTTTTTTTTCCACTTTAAATGTTTCTTACTTTTCCATGTAAACTAAGATAAGTAAACACTTATTGTAAAATCCTGATATCGCAAAACTATGGCTGGCATCTGCCCTCTGGTTGAGATGTTTGTCTGGCTGATGGTGCAGATACTTTGATGTGACTTCAGGAATTAAGGAATCATTGCAACATCAGTTGTGAAAAAGTTTTAATCGCAAACAGGGATCACAATCCAGACATTGGGTAACTGTCGCATGCGGAAATGCACTAAAACACACCAATATTGACTGAGTAAATAGGATGTCATAAACATTATGTAGTGTTGTTAGGGGATTTTGAATCTAGAGATTCGCAGTCGAAAGGTTCAAGAAGGCAGACATGTGGTCAGGCCTTTGTGGTTCTACACTGGGATTCCACGGAGAAATCTCAGCCTAGGCTGGTGCATTATTGCGTTCTGCAGGAAGCAGGAGTATTTTAAGCTGTGGGATCATTTAGCGAAATAGCTCGCAGAATCATGAAGGAGGGAACATTGCCCTGTTCTAGAGTATCGGACTGCAAATGAATAGGTTGAAAAAACAGTTTAGACTCTCAAGGTCGTACTGTTGATCCGTAGGAAGTTGATTATAATCCGATATAGAAAATGGATTCTAATGTCTCAAGGCGAGTGTGAGTACATTAGCGAGTGTTTAGGTGAGTCTTATCCACATATCACGTTATTGCAAATTTTTATCGGATCATATTTTTCATAATACACCAGTGTTACACTACGTACATGGCCTTTTGTAACATTGAGACGTCATCACTTGTTTATTAGAAGGTAGGATATTGCGCAAAGCTAAGATGTACCAAGTTTTGGTAACGTTGACATTCGCTTTTTCTAGAACCTTTTGTTTTTATTTATAGATAAATATTTGCAAAAAATAATCTATAAATAGTATTTGACCTAATTGTTGACATGTCCTATCAGAGTGAACACAGTTGTACTGGCTTTCTAGAAGTCTCTATGATGTCAGCTGTCAATTTAATTACTAAATTTAGGCGCAGAATAAGATGATGAAATCTGATGCAATCGAAATGTAATTAGAAAATCCCACATGAGAACGTACATAGTAAACAAGTTGAGCATACAAGAATATTCTAGAAGCAGTCAAAAGGAAAAAAAAACAAATACCCAACATTCCAGCATCAAAGTTAAAATAGTGAGTAACAAACCACTTTAGCATCCTTCAGTTTGCCAGACTTGGAAGAGGAGGGACCAGTCATCTTGACCCTCAAAGAGATCCTTCAGTTTGACAGAATTGAAAAGAGGAGGGACCAGTCAGATGGACCCTCAAAGAGATCCTTCAGTTTGCCAGACTTAAAAGAGGAGGGACAAGTCATGTGACTCTCAAAGAGATCCTTCAGTCTACCAGACTTAGCAGATGAACCAGTCACATGGAGCCTCGAAGACAGACATTAGAGAAGAGACATGAAACGAACTACAGGGACAACATGGATCCTTGGTAAACAGTGACACATTAGATAGAAACACTATTGAGATGTTACAGAGTCATTCAGAATATCGTTGATGTTATCTGTGACATTACTGAAGTATCACAATCAAGACAGTACATTAAAAAGAAGAGTTGTTTCCAGACATTTTATTAAACAAGCCTCAGAGACGTGAGAAGCATGCAGCAAGCAAGACATCATCATCATCACCACTACCAACACAACCATCTTTCTTCTCGTCTATAATCTTCCAATCAACTCCTCCTGTAGCAAAACTAAAGACGAACCTGGGTGTGACATTAGCATACGCAAAAGAACAGAGCTGTGCTACACTTTGTCATTTGATTTACGTTTGGACACCTTGGAGTTGACTGTTATCGTTACAATTCTCATGTTGTTCCAGTTAATTCCTGGTGGTCCTCGACCAACGTTTTCAGGGGAAATAATCTCCGACTATTTTCCCCATACTTGGCTTGTAGAATGTAATATGTTTCATACTGGACTCGTTGACTTGTACCTCTAAGTCGTTAGTTTGTACGCTTTCACTGATTAAACTGCCTTTGCCCAGATCAGTCGGAGCCTATTATTGTCTCGCACTGCCATGCATGTCTGAAAGGGAGTCTTTCTCCTGTTAACCGCAAGCCCCTAGCTGGTCCAGCATGTTTCAAATGGGGCGCCAAGCCGTCAAACATGATGCTTGCCTTAGTAGTCCCGCCTAATAGCACGTCACAGTAATCAAGACGACTGATGTGTTTTTAATAAAGATATCAAACCAGATGATAATCAGTGTTGTGTACCAGAGTTAATCAAGTCAGAAACAGACTATACTTAGTCAAGATTTGTTGACCTCAAACACAAAATTAGTTTAGCTGAAACAGACTGTACCCAAAACTCCACTAACACCTAAAGTTTGTGAGGGCGTTAAAACTTCAGAACTCCATGCAGCACAGATGAAGCCTTAACCCCCTGTACAATACCCACACATGGCTCCAGCAGTGGTCAGCTATATTGAGACCTGTCCAAAACTATTCTTAAGGTCTTCGGTTCTTGGATTGAGTTCTTCTACAATTTGACATCAGTTCCTTGAGAGTCTGTAGTAGTTCGGTTTGTTTCAAAATTATTTAAATGATCCGGTCGATGATGTTTCTAAATAATCAACATGATAGTTCAAGTACTGCTAAGGTTTTTGATAGTGTAGATGAGAGTTGGAGGGAAGGAGAAGCAGACGGAACTGAGAGAAAAGATGCTGGACAGTTTGACATCATGGCATGGGGGATAATCTGTGCCATGATGTTGATCTGTTGCTTGAACCTAAACTTATCTGTTTCAGAGTTGATTGAAAGTGCACGGGGCAGAAGGTTGTGGATAGACATGACTACCAATGCCACATGGCATGGAGGATCATCTATGTCAGAGTTGATTAAAAGTGCACAACACAGAAGGTTGTGGATAGACACAACTACCAGTGCCACACGGCACAGGCTTAAAGAAGAAGAAGATGAGAGTAGTATAAACTCAGAATATCTTAATGTGTGCAAGTGGCGATAGTAAAGTAAAGATCCCTTGTCACGCCTTTAGGGGCATCGGGTATATGGGAAGAGCACCCATATTTTTTCAGACCATCGGCACTAGGTGGGTAATGTGGTCGGCATTACGCCGGCTGTCTTTACTTCCCCACTACAGCCATCCTGGTATCCATTTTAGGCTGGGTTGATCTGTGACGGCCCATACCACGATAAAAATACACGCAGCCAGCAGTGGTTTACGAGTCAAACTCGCAATGCTTAAGCCACAGACGCCGCAAGTGGCAATAGTGTTGTACCAATATTTCCATAAACATGTCCAAGGTAATAAGGACATCTGTGAGACCATAGACTTAGACCAGGTTTTAAGACCAGCATGGTTGACTCAGGAGGAATCAGTTTGGTCTAAGTAAAGAGCAGCGTGAGTTGGGCACAAGAAGCTAATTGACCCAGAGGTGAGCCAGGAAGAGATATGGAGAGTGTCCCTGTGAGGCCAAGGCGTGACAGTTCTCCATCGCCTGATACGGTAGGAAATGCACGAGATGCTTTGAACCAACAGTGGTTCATTCCGGAAGTACATGATGTTCGGTAGGAAAGGATGAGTCCCCTTTGACTGGACATGGCAGCCACAACGAGAAGCAATGGTTTTAGATAGCGCAACGAAATTGACCCAACTTTGTGCCCCTGCCATAATTAGAGCTGAACCTACTGTACACCGTTTATGTGTGATGGCATGGTAAAAGTTAACTGATAAAGTCTGATTGATTAAAGGGAACTTTTTGCATCAAAATATATATCCTCGCTGTCCTGGGAATGCAAGTCATCTTTGATTGTTGTCCTGTTACTGCTCTGTAATTGTGGACTAGGTCATCACCCCTGGCAATGACCTCTACCCTGGGAGCCATTATTTTCAATACTTCCACAGTTTTAGAACTGTTCGATAGTACCCCCCCCCCCCCTCTTTTCCCATCATTCAGACAGATTAACCATCTTCTGACACATTCTGAGTCTCTTGACAATCAGCGTCACATTACAAGTGAAATGAACATTGTAGCTTTTGTCTGCACATTAAATGAAGAGACGATGATATAAACATGAACAAAAATACACAGAATCACTTAGCTGAGGCATCACTGAGAGAAAGCTACATTATCTGTCTGGCCAGTTAAAGGTCAGACACACTCTGCTAAACAAAGTTATGCATTATGTTACATTTTCCTTCATTGTATTTTGTTTTGTACATTTTAATACTCTATAACATCTTCTTTCTCCTCCTTTTCTTTCTGTTCACCAGCTGTGAGTTTCTGAGGAAAATCTTGATTGCTCGTCCACTTTGACTTTGGCTTTCTACGAGAATCTGTGTTATGCGTGTACATGAATGAATGAAGTTCAAACCCACCAGGACCGCACAACGAGCGATAAACACCTGGTGACACAAAGTGCTACCATTCAAATGGGAATCACCTTAGTGCAAGTCCCAGAAACCCCATTCAACCGTTGTGTTGTACTGTGGCCGCCAACACCAGCCAGAGTGGGGTTTTAAATTTAACGAAAAATTGCATCCCATATTTAGACGAATTATGTAGTATTTACAAGTACATCCATGTTACTGGCTTTTTTGTTTGCAGTTCTTGTTTCCTGCCTGTCGGGTAGATATACTCCGACTTTGAAGAAATTTTATAACATAATTAGTATTGGTTGTTGTTGAAAGCTGTTCTGAACAATCTAGATCTTGTAAAGTAGTTCCTCTCCTGTTTTTCATAAGCCCTATTATTTCTTCTCTTCACACAGGGAACTTTGAAAGGATTTGATCAGACCATCAATCTCATCTTGGACGAGAGCCATGAGCGTGTCTACAGCACCGGCCAGGGCGTGGAGCAGGTCATTCTTGGCTTGTACATTGTCAGGGGGGATAATGTGTAAGTAACTTTGTCAGGGGGGGGGGATAATGTGTAAGTAACTTTGTCGGGGGGGGGGGGGGGGGAATGTAAGTAGGAGGGTAACTTTGTCGGGGGGGGGGGGGGGGGGATAATGTGTAAGTAACATTGTCAAGGGGATAATGTGTAAGTAACTTTGTCAGGGAGGATGATGTGTAACTTTGTCAGGGTGGGATAATGTGTAAGTAACCCTGTCAGGGGGAATAATGTGTAAATAACTTTGTCAGGGGGGATAATGTGTAAGTAACTTTGTCGGGGATAATAATGTGTGAGTAACTTTGTCAGGGGGTAATAATGTGTAAGTAACTTTGTCAGGGGGGATAATGTGTAAGTAACTTTGTCAGGGGGATAATGTGTAAGTAACTTTGTCAGGGGGGATAATGTGTAAGTAACTTTGTCAGGGGGTAATAATGTGTAAGTAACTTTGTCAGGGGAGATAATGTGTAAGTAACCCTGTCAGGGGGGGGGGGGGGGGGGGGGGGGGGTAATGTGTAAAAAACTTTGTCAGGGGGGATAATGTGTATGTAACAGTCTCGTTAGGTTGTCTTGTTAAATTCTCAAGGTCTGAGGGGAGATAATGTGTAAGTACTCTCATCTTGTTACATTGTCAAGGATGGGAGATAATGTGTAAGTACTCTCATCTTGTTACATTGTCAAGGATGGGAGATAATGTGTAAGTACTCTCATCTTGTTACATTGTCAAGGATGGGAGTTAATGTGTAATTAATCTCATCTTGTTACATTGTCAAGGATGGGAGTTAATGTGTCATTAATCTCATCTTGTTACATTGTTAGGGATGGGAGTTAATGTGTAATTAATCTCATCTTGTTACATTGTTAGGGATGGGAGTTAATGTGTAATTAATCTCATCTTGTTACATTGTTAGGGATGGGAGTTAATGTGTAATTAATCTCATCTTGTTACATTGTTATCAAGGGTGAGGGGTTAATGTGTCATTAATCTCATCTTGTTACATTGTCAAGGATGGGAGTTAATTTGACCCCCCCCCCCCTCATCTTGTTTCCATTGAAAAGGTTAGGTTCAAGGTCAGTTTGTCCAAGATTTGTAACCAGTCATGTTGCTTGCAGAGACTTGTCTGGACGTTTACAATTCTGTTTTATTTCCCTGGCAGGGCTGTGATTGGTGAGCTGGATGATGACACAGACAGCGGATTGGACTTTGAAAATATCCGGGCAGAACCCCTCAATGCAATAGTACATTAATTGTGGTGGTGTGATGAGATGCAAGATTGTTTTAGTTTGTGTGTCGTAAAACACGGGCAGCATTTGACCTTCCAGTAACTGACGTTCTTGTAGGTGGAAACTTTGGTGGGTCCTGCAGCATGTTCTCTGACTGCCTCATGTGTAAATAAGATCCAGTCCAAGGTGTTCATTTCTTGGCTTCACTTGTAGAGAGCTACCCACAGAGTTCACTCTGAAATACAATTTGTGCAAGGTTTAATTTTTCTGGTTACAGATACTTTAGAACATTATTATTATTTGTTGTGGGGAACTTTGTTTAAAAATTGAATTTTTTAAGTTTAACTAAAAGTAAAATTCCCTACAGGTTTGTAGATTTTTTAACTTATATAAATGGAACTATTACGCTCTGTTGTAAACCAGTGGCTTTAACTAAAAAAATATACTGACTCCCCGAACTTAGAATACATCGGCTAGCAGACACCAGACGCAGCAAGATGTCCAGAATATAGGAAGCAATGACAGTTAACATTTTTCTAAAACTTGGTCCTTTCTTTGCATTATAATTAGATAGATATGTAAGGATGTATTTTGATATTCTGCTGTTTTATGTAATAATAATGGGGCTCAGATTTGATTGCACAGAATTGAGGCAACCCTAGGAACTTTTTCATGTACTGTATTAAATCCTTCTTGTAGTCATCTTTATGCAGCAATGCTTTCTGTACAGTCCCCATAACCAGTTGGGGCAACCCTTCAAACTCTTTTCTGTACTGAAGTGAGAGATCATTGTCCAGATACTTTATGCATAGAATATTTTCTGTGCAGAGCCCCAATTGAGAGTTCCTTGTTTGTTCTGTAAGTGATCTTTATTGTGCTGCTGGTTTTATTGCAAGAACACTTTTATCCATGCTGGAAGTCACAGTTTAGAGAGATACATGTGTCCAGATTACTGAAGTAAAGAGATAGTTTTATTGTGTCCAGTTTGCTGAAGAGAGAAACATTGAAAAATGCTACAAGCAAGATACATTTTTGTCTAGACATACTGTGTTTGTCCCAGATTGTGGGTGTTGAGAGAGACTACATAACTCTTTGATGATCTACTGAAGTGAGAGATACATTGTTTGTCCAGAGACTGAAGTGAGAGATACATTGTTTGTCCAGATACTGAAGTGAGAGATACATTGTTTGTCCAGAGACTGAAGTGAGAGATACATTGTTTGTCCAGAGACTGAATTGAGAGATACATTGTTTGTCCAGAGACTGAAGTGGGAGATACATTGTTTGTCCAGAGACTGAAGTGAGAGATACATTGTTTGTCCAGAACTGTTTGAGAGAGAAATCTGTTTGTCCAGAGAAGATTGCGAGATACATTGTTTGTCCAGATACTGAAGTAAGCGATACATTGTTTGTCCAGAGACTGAAGTGAGAGATACATTGTTTGTCCAGAGACTGAATTAAGAGATACATTGTTTGTCCTGTTGACTGAGTTCTTTAGGTTGTGTAAAGATAGCGAGTGACCTTTTCTGAGATCTTTAGAAGTGAAAGATAGTGAATGATTTTGGCTGAGACTGAAGTGAGAGATACATTGTTTTGGCAGAGGTTCTTTAGAAGTGTAAAGATACAGTGACCTTTTGGCTGAGTTCTTTAGACCGAAGTGAGAGATACATTGTCCAGATACTGAAGTGATAGATATATTGTTTGTCCAGAGGCTGAAGTGAGAGTTACCTTGTTTGTCCAGAGACTGAAGTGAGAGATACCTTGTTTGTCCAGAGACTGTAGTGAGAGATACATTGTTTGTCCAGATGCTGAAGTAAGAGAGATACATTTTTTGTCCAGATGCTGAAGAGAGATACATTGTTTGTCCAGATACTGAAGTAAGAGATACATTGTTTGTCCAGAGACTGGGTTTCATCCCAGTTTTGTGTGTTGAATAGATGACTAGATAATTAGCTGAGCCTCTATTTTTAAAAGTTTTTATTAATTTTGAAAATTGTTTAACTGTTTAACATGCTGTGTTTTCATGGATGACTGTTGGCTGAAAGGGAACGATGTTTGCATGGCTTGCTGAATGTGAGTGACCTGTTGTGTTTCTAAAGTGTAAATGCTAGCTATGACCTGATAGCTGAGTATTTTGTTTTGTCAGTGTACGAGTGATTTGGCTTGTCTTTAGTTTGTGTAAAGATACGACCACTCTGCCTGATGTGAAATGTTTCCAGATAGAAATCTCATTTCTTGTAAAGATAGCAAATGACCGGTTGGCTGAGTTCGTGTAAATATAGCAAGTGACCTGTTGGCTGAGTTCTTTAGTTTGTGTAAAGATAGCGAGTGACCTGTTGGCTCAGTTCTTTAGTTTGTGTAAAGATAGCGAGTGACCTGTTGGCTGAGTTCTTTAGTTTGTGTAAAGATAGCGAGTGACCTGTTAGCTGAAATCTTTAGTGTTTGTATAGATAGCGAGTGACCTGTTGGCTGGATTCTTTAGTTCTGTTGAACAGACACACTTGCTATTGGACAGGTCACATTGGAACAAGAAAAGGTCAAGATATTCAATGTGTGAGCTCTGACCAACACGTCTGGCCCCAGAAAACTGTGGCCAATCATTTGTTTAGCTACACAGCCAGTGCATGGGGCTAGATGTGCCTGACATTCTCAGAGACACAGTTAGTAAACCAGAGTCAGTGAGACTAGAATGTCAACCCCATTAGTAGAGTGTTTTACTGCCACAAGTGACAGAGGTATTAAATATACTGTATGTGGATTCTAGCTAATGTTTTCTGTTCAGATATGGCTCTTGCCTTCGACATCTTTTTATGGCTAGTATCCATTTCCTGTAGTCACACCTGTATCCCAGCTTCAATTGGCCAGACATACATGTTTTTCTTGGATAGACTTCGGTTAAGTGATGTTTGTGTGTTCTTGGATGTAAAAATAACACTGCATATTCATTTCATATGCTGATGAAAGCTTGGTTTGATAGCTGTCCATCATATGAGAGCAGCGGAAGATTGTAACCAGATAACTAGTCTTGGTTGGGACATTTCTCTCCGAAACACTTGTTGAGTCGACATGTTATGTGGATAAAAGTGGTTTACAGGAAGCAGGCATGAGTATGTTGTTTGGTGTTTCTCATATTAAATGTACATAATATTTTAGCCATGTCTGTTTTTAACATGTTCAGAAAATAAACAGTTGACATATTTTGTTTTTATGAAATGTTGATGGCTTATACGTGTCCCTGTTTGACTAATGGCAAACTTATTATTTTGCACAGTCCAGATGATTGATAGTAAAACATCACAGCTTGTTAGTTGTAACTGTTGCAGAGTTCTCAGCCTTTGAGGTTCACTGCTGCAGATATCGAATGCCTCCATTCATCTCCATGACTGGGGACTTTCTATTATCAAAATGTTGAATAGCGGCTGTGTTGTTTCTGCTCGTTGTTAATTCTCTCCTGCTGTTCTCTTCTCTCATCATGGACTGCTGTTTTGTGCACATTTCCAGCGCAGGATACTACCTGTTTTCCATGGAAGCAGCGTGTATTGTGGTTGCACTAGATCGGGGCATTGATGATGACCCATAGTTATGGAAGCCTTGACCACGCTGCCTTCGCAATGTTTTAATCGCGGAAGACAGAATCTTATCAGCAGGGGACTGCAACTGTCTAGAGAGCAAACTCGATAAAAGTTGTCCCCAGAAACGGAATGTGTCGACCATTTTTGTTTGATGGGGAGGAATCAACACATACAGTCATCTCCATGGCTGGGCTTCCTTTTTCCAAGTGTTTGTAGTCTGCCTGTGTATTATCCCTCCATAATCTTCTTGGTCCAACTCGTGGTCTACTTCCTTTCAGCTGTTTTGTTTACACAGTTTGTGTCTCTTTGTTATGGAACATTCCTTTCATGTAACTCAACCATTGCAGTTTTGTCACTGTCATGTCTTCGTAGAATTATCAAAATTTTCTGGACAGATACAATCTCAAAACACTAAACTACTTTATGTCTCAAACCAAGAAACTAGACACAATGATAACCAAGAGATTGAAATGGCTTGGCCACATTATGAGAATGAAACCTGATATACCTGCCAAAACAGCTCTCACATAGACACCAGAGGGAAAGAGAAAGAAGGGGTGCCCAAAAACAACGATGGAAAGTGAACTGAGTGTGGCATCTCTGAAATGGAAAATTGCACAGGACAGGAAAGCATGGAAAGTCTTCTCTGAAGCCTCATGTGCCACTAGGCATAAAGAGAACTGATGATGCTGTTGACGATTTTCTCTCTCCCTCCCTCCCCTCTCTCTATCTCTGGATATAACATGCTTATTGATAAAATACAGCTGCAGTGTGAAAGACGGGTGTTTGAAAGGGCCGAATGTAAGACAGGCCTGTGTGCCCAATTTGTGACCCTTTGAAAATAAAAGTTTGTTTTCTCTCTCTCTCTCTCTCTCTCCCCCTCAACCTCTCTCTCTCCATTTTCCACAGCTTGTCCAAAGACAATGCAGTGAGGTTTTATCCAGGTTTCCGAGCCATGTAGGACAGTACAGATTTATTTGAAACTTCTTATGGCTAAACTGTCTTCAGTAAGATGTACAAGTTATTGACAATAAGATGCACAAGTTATTGAAATTAAGATGCACAAGTTATTGACAATAAGATGTACAAGTTATTGACAATAAGATGCACAAGTTATTGACAATAATATGTACAAGTTACTGACAATAAGATGTACAAGTTATTGACAATAAGATGTACAAGTTATTGACAATAAGGTGTAAAAGTTATTGACAATAAGATGTACAGATTATTGACAATAAGATGCACACGTTACTGACTGAAGATTGCACAGAAAAGGTAGGCATAAAACGCCCTTTCTCAAGCCTCATGTGCCACTAGCACATAAAATAAAATAAAAATGCACCAGCTCATTATTCCCTCTGTAGCTTATGCTCCAACACAATATTATTCCCTATATACTCGAGCAGTATTATTCTCTCAATGCTCCAGCAGTATTATTCCCGCTATGCT